TGAAGCTGTAAACTACTCATACATGAAGAATGGACTGCATAGTACTTTGACATTGCTATTATAATGCCACTCAAAATTCTTTTTTTAAAATCATATCGTTACTTCCCACAAGCCCTTCAACACTAGCCAAGCAACAACTCAGAAAGGTGGCTTGTGTCGACAGACTGTTAGCGCGGACGCAGACTCGTTTAATCACTATTCCCATGCAATCCCAAGGATCGAAAGCCTGGAATCAATACATCTCAACGTTTTGTTTCCGAACGCTGGTAACGATTTGCATCTATAATTCGTACAGGTCAAAACAGGGACTACGTAAACCTGCGTCAAACCGCAAATGAGTTGCAAATCTAATCGCCAACAACGAAATTTACTACTATAAAAGCTTGGACAAGCGATAGAGCAAGCATCAATTCTTCGACCTCGAAGCCGAAGAATCGCATTCAAAATGCAAAAGCTTTCCCTTGTGTTCCTAGCCCTCCTTGTGGGCGCAGCTGTCGGAAATTACTGTAACTCCGGTGGAGACTTCCCCGGGGACTGTAAGGACCGTCAGTCGAACCGAGACTGTCTTTTATCCGGTGGAGACTCATCCGAAGACTCTTCTGATAAGTCCTCTGCCAACAGCGGCTCCAGCGAATCTCACGAATCCAAGACCACCCTCTCCGTCCTCTCCTCCACCGACGTCACCATCCAATCGTCCACCTACGGAGAATGCTCCTGCAGTTGTGAAAACTCCGGATCTGATGAAGGCTCCGGCTCCGGATCATACGAAAGCTCCGGCTCTGGATCCGAAGAAGGTTCTGGATCTGGATTGGAAGGAGGTTCCGGATCTGGTGCAGGAGGAAGCTTTGGATATGGCGATTACTGTCTCCTGCTCCAATACTTCTACAACATCAGTATCGAAATCGAGGACGTTGAGATCCGCCAAGAATGGATCCTGTTCATCGAAGAGCTCCAACTCACCGTCATCTTCGACAAGACCCTCACCATCGACGAGAAGCTCGTTCTCATCTACACCAAGCTCCAAGCTTTCCTTGAGATCCATGTTGAGATCCAAGAGCTCGTCTACTACACCTACATTGAAGAATGGAGCGGATACGTCTTCGATCTTGAAGCTGTTGTTCTCTTCATCCAATACCAGTACACCTCTACCATCGTCGAACTGGACGCCTCCGGCTCCTGCATCTTGTTCGAGGCCCTCCGCAACTGCACTGCCGTCGACGCTGAATTTTCTGCCAGAATCGAGGTTCTGATTGAGGAATTGACCGTCATTCTTGAGTCCACCAGCTACACCTACAGCTACCAATTGGTGTTGATCTACGAGAAAATCGAAGCCTTCTTTGCTGAATACAGCGAATACGAGGCTGCCATCTTGGCCATCGAAATTGAAGGCTATGGATCTTTCGCTTCCTTCTATGAAGTCATCGTCAACGTAAGTCACAAAATCACTTATCATACATTTTTTAGTACTGGCGTGTGGCCAACTACGAGGTCGTGGTTGGAGGTTCCGCTTCCAGCTGTGCTCTGATCCAGGTCCTCACTGAGTGCTACGAGAACACCTCCAGCGGATCCATCTCTCAACGCTCTCAGATCAAGCAGTTGGTCGAGAAACTCACCGCCTACTTCGAATCTGAAGTCTCCGTCGAACTCCGTGTCTCTTACTTCGTCGAACAGAGCTACCAATTCCTGATCCTCAACCAGTGGTCCTTGGAATTGATCTTCTCGCTTGAGATCGACGGATTCGGATCCATCTACGAGCTGATCCTTGCCTTCTCTTTCGTAAGGGCTATCTGAGGGTATTTCATTCATGTTTTTAGGAAAAAGACTGCGGCGGCTTTGACTTTGGCTCCCAAACGACCACTCCCGCCATCGAGTCCACCACCGAGGCTGTTGAGAGCACCACCCACGCCACCGGCGACTGCTCTGTCGTCTTGGATATCATCAAGTTCCAGAACAACATCACCGATCTCTCCTGGTCCATCGACCAAGCTCAACTGAGCTGGAATCAGACTGAGATCACCAGATTCTCCGCCTACGAAAAGAGGATCTACACCGTAACCTCCAACACGACTGCCACTTCGGAGCAAATCTTTGAGAATGTCGTCAACGTCTTCAATGTCTGGACTAAGGACCAATTCTACTTGAGCCTGACCTATGACATCGTCATCCAGATCTATCACGAGACCGCTGAGCAATACACTTGGGGAACCGTCAAACAGTTCTGCGCTTGCGCCTAAAGCTAAAGTGTAATGCTACAATGTTTTTTGTTAAATAAATCAGGCATCAAAAAAGAAATACGAGAGAATTTTGTCAAAGTTGTGGAACCTAAATGTTTTTAATGGTCTTAAATATCTAGCGGGGAATTAAAATGCCTTTAGCCTTCGATTTTATACCGAGTTAAAGCAAAATGCGACCAAAGATTTTACAAGTATTGCACTTTTTTGATATGGCTTATTTTCAATAGACCGGCCTGATAGGCCCGGGTTACATACACTCTGCTTCAAAAGGATAGGAATCCTCTATAAAAAGTATCGTCAGGCGAGACAGCTGGTGTTCACCTGTGATGTGATAATTGTCTTGGACAAGAAATTTAAATGGCCATGAAATCGAACAAAAAAGTTTGAGGCCTTAACATTGTTTAAAACGCCTTGCTGCTCTGCAATTCGCAGCAGCACTTGACTGGTACAGTGCAGTAGCCATCTGCAAATTTAAATCCGGCTTACAAAGGATGGCGCGGTCAATTTTTTTGACACACTTGCCGTTTCCGCAAGTGCGGAGTTTGGCTAAATTGGAGTTGATATGATTTTCTTTTAAAAAGTGGAAGCATGAATCGGCTTACTCTGATCAGGAGCCAGCGGGCCGCAGGTCTTCGTGGATCCCGCGGGCTCATGGGCGTCTGGCTCTGATATGGTTTTGATCGGACGTTGAAACAAAAGAGCATTAAGTTAAGATGTTTGATGCCTTTGCAGTTATTTGGTTCCTTTAAACAGCGCAAATTATCAACTCCGTTTCGGCATTGTATTTCAAAATATGCTGATATGACGTATGGTTAGGAGTGGTTTTTATGTCTGATTTGGTGGCTACAAATAATGGATTGATAAGATTTTTGAATACCTTATGAGTGCCGTTTAATTTCGCCACTGGTTTTTCGAGATAGTTAAGATCAAGGCCGTTCGGAAAACAAGCGCAACAAAAATTGAATTTAATGCAAATTTTCTTCTCTTTCTCTGCCCTGCAACCTGCAAGAGCATGAATAAGCTTTACTCTTTCCTCGTTGTGATTTGTGACCTTATCAGATAATCGCGTGATTGTTAGCCGGAGAGTCAACAGGTGCTTTGTGGTTCGATCTCACAACAACATTTCCTGCAGAAAACTGTGTGTAAAGATGCACATAACTAAATACAGCACGAGCGGTAAGTATGTGACCATTGCGGCAAACATCACAATTCTTTTATTAACTCCTTGACTTTGGCGAAAGGGAATCAAGTCTTTTGTTGTTTGTAAATTCGATATCAGTCCTGAGGTCGAACCACAAAGTATTGATGGTTTTTCCGCTTGAGAACCAAACAATTCACCGATAAGGGCATAAAACACAGAGAAGAAAGTTTAGAATCAAGCGAATCTTTGCAGACTTAGAAGGCAGAAAATTGAAAGAGTACGCATAACATAGACTTCCTTAATTTTGACATATAATCTATGATTCAATACGGTAAAAAAGTATTTAATGTTTAGATAAATTTTGTGTTGCAGTTCTCATCTTGGCCATGATTCCATGCTGAAATCAGGGATATTTGGTTTCCCGCATATTACCCAAAATTTTAGCTAAATTTCCGCTTGCGAAAGCGAGCAATCTAAAAAATGTTATCATCCAATGCTTTGTAGGCACAAAAATTGCTCCAAACCACAGCTTTTGTCATCATATTTCAAAACATGATGCTCGGATAGAACTGATAATTTGCACTATTTAAAGGAACCAAATTATTGCAAAGATATCATCTATCTAAATTTCGTTCTTCTCCGCTTTCCCATCAACGTTCGGTCCGAGCAATGCCAGAGCCAGTGTGTTGCAACTCTCAGAAGTGCCCGGAGCCTTGCTGCCAGAAGACAGTTAGTCAACAAGGTTAGTAAATTTTGTTAGGAATCCGCACGAAATTAATTTACACAAGATTTCATAAGACAAAAAACCGTAATTTTGTGATTTGAAGAGGAAAAGCCACAAAAACGTCTTTTACACGCTCTCCCTGCACTCGTAAACTTTCGTACTCTCTCCGCTATAAGGTCATTTAATATCGATTAGACCTGCAAAGTGTGTGTAAAATTTTTAGGAATTGAAGCGCAGCCTAGTTACAGACAATGGGTGTATGTAAAAGAATCTAAGCGCCGTTACTGTGATTACAACTCATAGGTTCAAAAAAAACTTTTTTGCAATGCTATGGCCGTTTTCAGTCCAACACTGCGTCTGCTTGAATGGCGAATGTGTAAAGGTTGATTGTGTCGCCGTCTGTTGCAAACCCAAGTCCCAATGTGGAGCTGGATGTTTCACCGCTCCAAGCCAAAAGTGCTGTTGCTGCTAATAAAGGACCAATCATCTCTACAAAGCCAAACGAACTGGCCAACCAAAAACATACGTTTCTAAATGTGTTATAATTCAATAAAAATTTCGTATTCTCTCTACGGCGATTTCATTCAATTGCAATCCAAGGGTTTAGCATAAACAGCAACGATCTCTGATGTCGCCAAAAACATGCCAGGGTTAATCCTTACTCGAATATGTACAAACGAGGCTCGAACAAAACGTGTCAGCAATAAACGTATCAAGCAACTCCCGGAAACGCAAGAGTTAATCCTCGAGCCAGCCTTGCCACCCGTCTGTCTCAAAGTCAGGACAGCAAAATCAATGCAAATCCGTGAAATTTATGCGAATTTACTTCGTATATAAGCTCGGCCACAGCTCATTGAAAGCAACAATTCTTCGACCTCGAAGCCGAAGAATCGCATTCAAAATGCAAAAGCTTTCCCTTGTGTTCCTAGCCCTCCTTGTGGGCGCAGCTGTCGGAAATTACTGTAACTCCGGTGGAGACTTCCCCGGGGACTGTAAGGACCGTCAGTCGAACCGAGACTGTCTTTTATCCGGTGGAGACTCATCCGAAGACTCTTCTGATAAGTCCTCTGCCAACAGCGGCTCCAGCGAATCTCACGAATCCAAGACCACCCTCTCCGTCCTCTCCTCCACCGACGTCACCATCCAATCGTCCACCTACGGAGAATGCTCCTGCAGTTGTGAAAACTCCGGATCTGATGAAGGCTCCGGCTCCGGATCATACGAAAGCTCCGGCTCTGGATCCGAAGAAGGTTCTGGATCTGGATTGGAAGGAGGTTCCGGATCTGGTGCAGGAGGAAGCTTTGGATACGGCGACTACTGTCTCCTGCTCCAATACTTCTACAACATCAGCATCGAAATCGAGGACGTTGAGATCCGCCAGGAATGGATCCTGTTCATCGAAGAGCTCCAACTCACCGTCATCTTCGACAAGACCCTCACCATCGACGAGAAGCTCGTTCTCATCTACACCAAGCTCCAAGCTTTCCTTGAGATCCATGTTGAGATCCAAGAGCTCGTCTACTACACCTACATTGAAGAATGGAGCGGATACGTCTTCGATCTTGAAGCTGTTGTTCTCTTCATCCAATACCAGTACACCTCTACCATCGTCGAACTGGACGCCTCCGGCTCCTGCATCTTGTTCGAGGCTCTCCGCAACTGCACTGCCGTCGACGCTGAATTTTCTACCAGAATCGAGGTTCTGATTGAGGAATTGACCGTCATTCTTGAGTCCACCAGCTACACCTACAGCTACCAATTGGTGTTGATCTACGAGAAAATCGAAGCCTTCTTTGCTGAATACAGCGAATACGAGGCTGCCATCTTGGCCATCGAAATTGAAGGCTATGGATCTTTCGCTTCCTTCTATGAAGTCATCGTCAACGTAAGTCACACAATCACTTATCATCCATTTTTTTAGTACTGGCGTGTGGCCAACTACGAGGTCGTGGTTGGAGGTTCCGCTTCCAGCTGTGCTCTGATCGAGGTCCTCACTGAGTGCTACGAGAACACCTCCAGCGGATCCATCTCTCAACGCTCTCAGATCAAGCAGTTGGTCGAGAAACTCACCGCCTACTTCGAATCTGAAGTCTCCGTCGAACTCCGTGTCTCTTACTTCGTCGAACAGAGCTACCAATTCCTGATCCTCAACCAGTGGTCCTTGGAATTGATCTTCTCGCTTGAGATCGACGGATTCGGATCCATCTACGAGCTGATCCTTGCCTTCTCTTTCGTAAGGGCTATCTGAGGGTATTTCATTCATGTTTTTAGGAAAAAGACTGCGGCGGCTTTGACTTTGGCTCCCAAACGACCACTCCCGCCATCGAGTCCACCACCGAGGCTGTTGAGAGCACCACCCACGCCACCGGCGACTGCTCTGTCGTCTTGGATATCATCAAGTTCCAGAACAACATCACCGATCTCTCCTGGTCCATCGACCAAGCTCAACTGAGCTGGAATCAGACTGAGATCACCAGATTCTCCGCCTACGAAAAGAGGATCTACACCGTCACCTCCAACACGACTGCCACTTCGGAGCAAATCTTTGAGAATGTCGTCAACGTCTTCAACGTCTGGACTAAGGACCAATTCTACTTGAGCCTGACCTATGACATCGTCATCCAGATCTATCACGAGACCGCTGAGCAATACACTTGGGGAACCGTCAAACAGTTCTGCGCTTGCGCCTAAAGCTAAAGTGTAATGCTACAATGTTTTTTGTTAAATAAATCAGGCATCAAAAAAGAAATACGAGAGAATTTTTACCCCGCTACGACTTTTCGGGTTAGCGGTTCGGGTCAACGATACTATGGATCGCTCCGGCTCGTCGTTGTAAGCATAAGCGGGCCAGGAGAAGGCTTAGTTAGTTGAAATAATAAGATTGGTCGTGTATCACCTATTTTGAGGTAAAGGTGGTCATATATGTAAGAGTTAAAAAAAAATTTCCCAAATCGCGATATTTGGTGCACAAAAAAGTCGACGCCCAAATCGAAAAATTGGCCTCGACTTAATTTTTTCTCGGCACCCAATTCCGAAATCCTGTGCATTTTTCTAAACGCAGCTCCCGTTTTTTTTAATCGGTGCACAAAGTCTTAAGTCAGCACCGAATTTTGGAATTCGGTGCAGGGTTTCGGGGGAACAGTTGACCCAGGATTTCCTGCTCCAGAAGAATTTTTTGTTTTTCGCCAATGTTCAAGATTTCTAATGTTTTCTGGGTGAAGACAACATGGAATTTGTCAAGAAAAGGTATTTTTACCAAGAGCAGGCTGCCCCGTTAGATTTAAAAGAGAGTTTTTCACAGATTGAAGCTTCTCATAACAAGGGCCGGACATTTCGAAAAAACGACCGACTCAGAATCTTTTGATATTTTGCATGGTTGTTGTACTATGATAGCTGAACGTCAGCGCGAATTTTTAGTTTCAGAAATTACCGTATACGGGGGTTACGGTACGTACAATTTTTAGAAAGATTGGGTTCGTATGTAAAAACCACGAAGAGTAAAGGGGTGAAACTTTGCTGGTTTACGTTTTCGACCCTGGGGAACATTTTCATAATTGACAACTTTGCCGTAGGATGTTGCCTTCGACTACTTTGAAAAATACCAAGGTACCATATTGAATGTAACTTTTTTTCAGAGAACTTGTCTCAACTTTTGAAACCTCTTAAAAACACTTTGACACGTATGTAACAACATATCAAAAATGCGCGAAAATAAAAGGGGGGGGTTTTGGAGTTACGGTACTTTGAATGTTGCCGGTACGGTATATCAAAAAATCATTTTTTTCGAAATGGGTGTAGAAGACCCGCAAAAATTGCCAAAGTACGTTTTGGACCATGGCGAACATTTTTGTAATTGACACTTTTTCTGTAGGATGTAGTCTTCGCCTACTTCGAAAATGACCCAGATACCATGTGTAATGTAACTCTTTGGCATTCTACTTGTCTCAACTTTTGAAACCTCAGAAAAATACGTTGACAAGTACGGAACAACATATCAAAAATTTAGAAAAATAAAAGGGGGGGTTTTGGAGTTATGGCACTTTTAAAGTTGCCGGTACGGTATATCAAAATTTTGTTTTTTCTAAAATTGGTGCAGGACAACCGCAAACCTTGCCAATATACGTTTTCAACCATGGGGAACATTTTTGTAATTGACAGTTTTGTTCTAGGATGTAGCCTTCGACCGCTATGAGAAATGTCAAGATACCATGTTCAATATAACTTTCCGGCATTCAACTTGTCTCAACTTTTGAAACCTTTCAAGAACACCTTGACATATGTGTAACAACATATCAAAAATTTAGAAAAATAAAAGGGAGGGTTTTGGAGTTATGGTACTTTGAATGAGAAAATATTGTTCGCTTTTGCTTAGCACCTTCCAACAGTCATTTTAATGTAAAAAACTCAAAATCGATTTTTTCCCATGTCCACGCCTACCTGGCGGCTGATGCAGCCGTAAATGCAAGAAATTCCAAAATATGCAAATTAATGAAAATTATGTGGAAAATCTTCTATTGTGACCGATACGATGTAATAACAAAATTTACTTTCCATTCTTGCCATTTAACAATGATTTTATGCGGTTTACTCCGATTTTTTGCTCATTCGTGACTGGGTGCCCCAACTTCAAACAGCCCGTTCTCAGACAGCTCGGTTCGCGCGCTCAAGTTTTTTACATCGTTGGAACCGTTATGACTTCTATTTTAGACACATCAAATAAAAATGAGCATAATTTGGGTTAAATTTTCGAGAAATTTACATATTTTTGAATTTTTGCATAAATATTCAAATTTTTTGGTCACTTCCCGGCGTTTTCGAAACTTGGTGTAGCTAACAAAAAGCCGTCTTTTGTCACGCTGAACATACTGGTAAAGACCCCGTCCCGCTACGACATCCGGTTCTCGAGTTATGACAAAACGAGTCATGTTACCGTAACCCAAAGTACAGTAAGATTTCGGAAAAAAGTTAACGGGAAAGTTTCTTAGAATGGTACGTAGCTATAGTTTTCCAAGTTTAAAGAAAAATGAAGCAGTTTGATTTTTCGTGTAGCCAGGGTTCTCCAAGCATAGAAAAAACGTGTTTTAAACAGTAACATGCAGCATCTTGCCCGAATCGCCTTAAAATTCCGTGCATGGAAGTGTACTTACTTTTTAAATATGCTATTTTTTCTATGCGAGAGCTTCGCCCTAGTGTTACAAACACTGGCTTAATGAGTAATGTGTAATATATCAATCCCATAGTCTTCCAACGCTCAGTAAGGCAGTATAGTTAGTTCTCCGCCCGAAAGGGTAATCGTGGATTTTGAAATGGCGTCTAAGCAAGCAATCCACGACGTGTATGGCAGACAAGTATCAGTTCATGGATGTCATTTCCATTTTCGCCAATGTGTGAAGAGAAAGGTCGACGAGTTCGCCAAACGGGATTATATAATAAAAACAACTTCATCTTCGCCAGATTCATCCGACATCTTATGGCCTTACCATTCGCGAAGCCTGAACACATCGAATATTTTTTCGAACGGCTGTTGATCAAATTCCGTGACCTTCTGGGTAACGACGCAACAAGGCTACTGCTTCTGATGAAAGACTACATGGAAAGAACAAGGATTGGCTTTCCAGGTCTACTTTCAGGAGAAAGCAGATTCCTTTGTTTGAAATTTTATTTTGGAACTGTTATGAGTATACCACAGTTGCTTTACCTAGGACAAAAAACAATGTCGAAGCCTGGCATCGGGCCATTCACCGACAAAAGCATCCGACAATAGAAGCACTGATCAAGGCACTGAAGTAAGAAGAATCCTGTAAAAATTCTTTTGTGTTTCTTTTCTGATGCATGATTTATTTATCAAAGAACATTCGTATAACATTGAACTTTAGTTTTAGGCACAACCGCAGAACTGTTTGACAGTACCCCAAGTGAATTGCTCAGCGGTCTCGTGATAGATTTGGATGACGATGTCATAGGTCAGGCTCAAGTAGAATTGGTCCTTAGTCCAGACATTGAAGACGTTGACGACATTCTCAAAGATTTGCTCCGCAGTGGCTGTCGTGTTGGAGGTGACGGTATAGATTCTCTTTTCGTAGGCGGAGAATCTGGTGATCTCAGTCTGATTCCAGCTCAGTTGAGCTTGGTCGATGGACCAGGAGAGGTCGGTGATGTTGTTCTGGAACTTGATGATATCAAAAACGACAGAGCAATCGCCGGTGGCGTGGGTGGTGCTCTCAACAGCCTTGGTGGTGGACTCGATGGCGGGAGTGGTGGTTTGAGAGCCAAAGTCAAAGCCGCCGCAGTCTGTTTCCTAAAAATATGAATGAAATACCCTCAGATAGTCCTTACGAAAGAGAAGGCAAGGATCAACTCGTAGATGGATCCGAAACCGTCAATCTCAAGCGAGAACAGCAATTCCAGAGACCACTCGTTCAGGATCAGGAATTGGTAGCTCTGTTCGGCGAAGTAAGAGACACGGAGTTCGACGGAGACTTCAGATTCGAAGTAGGCGGTGAGTTTCTCGACCAATTGCTTGATCTGAGAGCGTTGAGAGATGGATCCGCTGGAGGTGTTCTCGTAGCACTCAGTGAGGACCTCGATCAGAGCACAGCTGGAAGCGGAACCTCCAACCACGACCTCGTAGTTGGCCACACGCCAGTACTAAAAAAATGGATGATAAGTGATTGTGTGACTTACGTTGACGATGACTTCATAGAAGGAAGCGAAAGATCCGTAACCTTCAATTTTGATGGCCAAGATGGCAGCCTTGTATTCGCTGTATTCAGCAAAGAAGGCTTCGATTTTCTCGTAGATCAACACCAATTGGTAGCTGTAGGTGTAGCTGGTGGACTCAAGAATGACGGTCAATTCCTCAATCAGAACCTCGATTCTGGCAGAAAATTCAGCGTCGACGGCAGTGCAGTTGCGGAGGGCCTCGAACAAGATGCAGGAGCCGGAGGCGTCCAGTTCGACGATGGTAGAGGTGTACTGGTATTGGATGAAGAGAACAACAGCTTCAAGATCGAAAACGTATCCGCTCCATTCTTCAATGTAGGTGTAGTAGACGAGCTCTTGGATCTCAACATGGATCTCAAGGAAAGCTTCGAGCTTGGTGTAGATGAGAACGAGCTTCTCGTCGATGGTGAGGGTGTCGTCGAAGATGACGGTGAGTTGGAGCTCTTCGATGAACAGGATCCATTCTTGGCGGATCTCAACGTCCTCGATTTCGATACTGATGTTGTAGAAGTATTGGAGCAGGAGACAGTAGTCGTCGTATCCAAAGCTTCCTCCTGCACCAGATCCGGAACCTTCTCCCGATCCAGAGCCAGAGTTTCCACCAGATCCGGAGCCAGAACCAGAACTTCCGCCAGATCCAGAACCGGAGCCAGAGCTTCCACCAGATCCGGAGCCAGAGCTTCCACCAGATCCGGAGCCGGAGCCAGAACTTCCGCCAGATCCGGAGCCAGAGCTTCCACCAGAGCCGGAGCCAGAGCCAGAACTTCCACCAGATCCGGAGCCAGATCCGGAGCCAGAGCCAGAACTTCCACCAGATCCGGAGCCAGAGCCGGAGCCAGAGCCAGAACTTCCACCAGATCCAGAGCCAGAGCTTCCACCAGATCCGGAGCCAGAGCCAGAACTTCCACCAGATCCGGAGCCAGAGCCAGAACTTCCACCAGATCCGGAGCCAGAGCCAGAACTTCCACCAGATCCGGAGCCAGAGCCAGAACTTCCACCAGATCCGGAGCCAGAGCCAGAACTTCCACCAGATCCAGAGCCAGAGCTTCCACCAGATCCGGAGCCAGAGCCAGAACTTCCACCAGATCCGGAGCCAGAGCCAGAACTTCCACCAGATCCGGAGCCAGAGCTTCCACCAGATCCGGAGCCAGAGCCAGAGCTTCCACCAGATCCGGAGCCAGAGCTTTCACCAGATCCGGAGCCAGAGCCAGAGCTTCCACCAGATCCGGAGCCAGAGCTTTCACCAGATCCGGAGCCAGAGCCAGAGCTTCCACCAGATCCAGAGCCAGAACTTTCACCAGATCCGGAGCCAGAGCTTCCACCAGATCCGGAGCCAGAGCCAGAGCTTCCACCAGATCCGGAGCCAGAGCCGGAGCCAGAGCTTCCGCCAGAGCCAGAGCTTCCACCAGATCCGGAGCCAGAGCTTTCACCAGATCCGGAGCCAGAGCTTCCACCAGATCCGGAGCCAGAGCCAGAGCTTCCACCAGATCCGGAGCCAGAGCCGGAGCCAGAGCTTCCGCCAGAGCCAGAGCTTCCACCTGAACCGGAGCCAGAGCCAGAGCTTCCACCAGATCCGGAGCCAGAGCTTCCACCAGATCCGGAGCCAGAGCTTCCGCCCGATCCGGAACCGGAGCCAGAGCCGGAGCCAGAGCTTCCACCAGATCCGGAGCCATAGCCGGAGCCAGAGCTTTCACAAGTGCAGGAACATTGTCCATAGGTGGGTGATTGGATGGTGACGTCGGTGGTGGTGACGACGGAGAGGGTGGTCTTGAATTCGTGAGATTCGCTGGATTCTCCACCGGCTAAAAGACAGTCTCGGTTTGATTGACGGTCCTTGCAGCCCCCGGGGAAGTCTCCACCGGAGTTACAGTAATTTCCGATAGCTGCGCCCACAAGGAGGGCTAGAAACACAAGGGAGAGCTTGTGCATTTTGAATGCGCTTCTTCGGCTGCGAGGTCGAAGAATTGTTGGTTTCAATGGAATGTGGCCGAGCTTATATACAAAGTAAATTCGCATAAATTTCACGGATTTGCATTCATTTTGCGGGCTAATGTAGTACAAACCCCCCAGTCCAGTTCAGATCCCCATGACCCATTACAACCCCCTCATCCAATCTGTTTCATTCTTCCTGAAAGCACCACCATCCCTGATGAATGCCGTGCCGACTCGGGATTGGGTTTTCTCGGCTACGATCAGCGTTGCCTGAAGCACAAGAATAAAAGGTAAGGGTTTTATCTACAACGTTGGCGGATTGATCTAAAACTCATGGGGTTGGATGTATAACGTTAAAGTTTACATTTTACAAGGGATCGGCAAATAGTTGCACCCTACTTTCTTAAAGAAACATATATCATTTGAAAGAGCATTAAAAATAGCGTACAACGCAAAAAAATAGCTGCCCAATTTATTCTTGGGCGAAGTTATGGTCATTTTATGAAAAAGGGTTATAACGCCGTTGTCTTATATTACAGTAATTCTGGCGGCTCGAAATCGTCTCCATGAATTTTTTTGTATCCCAAAACGTCTGTGACGTACGTTTTATGGCCTTACCAATCCCGGGTTATGAGTTATTAAACATTACTGGTAGTTACAAAAGATTGTATATAAATAAAACTAGGTTAATGGGAAATTTGGAGCAAAAAGCTTTGGGAATAGATTTATATGATCGTCGTTGTCATTCACAAACGAAGATCTCAAAATCGAAAACTAAAAACATATTCTTTGAGCAGTACTGCGCAACAATCCAACAGACACACAACTTGCACAGCCACAACCTTTTTCAGTTTGGCCACATTGCTTCACTTTCAAATTTTACACAACTCTGCCGCAATTCCAAGCACTTATAAAGTGACTGCGGAAAGTAGGCTAAAATCTGTATTTTAACTTTGCCCAAAACGTATATTAGGCAACTTTTTTGCGCTGTGCACTTTTTTTAATGCTCTTTCAAATGATATAGGTTTTGTTAAGAAAGCAGGGTGCAACTGTTTGCGGAACCCTTGTTACTCCAATTTGCATTTTTTGTATTATTCTATTTTTTATTATTGAAACGGGAAAGCAGTGGGTGTTTGAATTACATTTCCGGGGCTGAAGTCGGAAAGCCTCCATTTTGCTGTCCTGACTTTGAGACATATGTGTGGCAAGGCTGGCTCGAGGATTAACTCTTGTGTTTCCGGAAGTTTTTTGATAATTTTGTCGTTGACACGTTTTGTTTGAACCGCGTTTGAATGTATTGGATTAAGGATTAACGTTAGCATGCGTTTAACTCCATCAGAGACCGTTGTTGTTAATGCTAAGCCCTTCGATTGCAATTGAATCAAATCGCCATGGAGCGGTTTCATTGAATTGCAATGTTTAACTCCATCAGATACCGTTGTTGTTAATGCGAATACAAACTTTTTATTTAATTGTAACACATTTAGAAACGTATGTTTTTGGTTGACCAGTTCATTTGGCTTTGTGGAGATGATTGGTCCTTTATCAGCAGCAACGGCACTTTTGGCTTGGAGCGGTGAAACATCCAGCTCCACATTCAGACTTGGGCTTGCAACAGACGGCGACGCAATCAACCTTTACACATTCGCCATCCAAGCAGACGCAGTGTTGGACTGAAAACGGTAATAGCATAGAGTACAAAAGAGTTTTTTGTAACCTATGAGTTGTAATCACAGTAACGGCGTTTAGGTTCCCTCACATACACCCATTGTCTGTACCTAGGACGCGCTTCAATTCCTAAAAAATTTAGCTCGCACTTTGCAGGTCCAATCGATATTAAATGGCCTTATAGCGGATAGAGTACGAAAGTTTGTGAGGGCAGGGAAAGCGTGGAAAAGACATTCCGTGGCTTGTCCTCTTCAAATCGCAAAATTACGATTTTTTACCTTATGAAATCTTGTGTAAATTAATTTCGTGAGGAGTCCTAAGAAAATTGACTAACCTTGTTGACCAACTGTCTTCTGGCAGCAAGGCTCCGGGCACTTCTGAGAGTTGCAACACACTGGCTCTGGCATTGCTTTGACCGAACGTTGAAAGGAAAGTAGAGAAGAACGGAATTTAGATAGCTGATATCTTTGCAATAATTCGGTTCCTTTAAATAGGCAAATTATCAGTTCTATCCGAGAATCATGTTTTGAAATATGATGATAAAAGCTGTGGTTTGGAGCAATTTTTGTGCCTACAAAGCATTGGGTGATAACGTTTTTTAGTATGCTCGCGTTAGCAAGCCGAAATTTAGTTAATATTTTTGCGGGAAACCAAGTGTCCCTGATTTCAGTATGGAATCATGGCCAAGCTGGGAACTGCGGCACAAAATTTTGCTAAAATGTTAAAGACTTTTTTACCCTATTGAATCATAGATTGTACGTTCAAATGAAGGGAGTTTATTTTATGCGTACTCTTTCAATTTTCTGCCTTCTAAGTCTGCAAAGATTCGCTTGATTCTAAACTTTCTTCTCTGTGTTTTATGCCCTGATCGCGGAATTGCTTGATTCTCAAGGGTAAAATCCGTCAATACTTTGTGGTTCGACCTCAGGACTGAAAAAAACTTTACAAACAACAATAGACTTGATTTGCTTTCGCTAACGTCAAGGAGTTAATAAAAGAATTGTGATTTTTGCTGCAGTGGTCACATATTTAAAGCTCTTGCTGAATTTAGTGATGTGCATCTTTACAAGCGAGAAGTACTTGTAAGGATCTTTAGACAGCATGACGTTTAGAACTTTGCGATAAACGACATTAGGACGTTCTCTGGCTTCCTGATTTTAACAAAGGACAACCATTACTTTTTGTTTCTTAGGGCGCACGTCAAAGTAGATAATTGCGAAATCTCGCTAAGTGTCAAAAATATATTGATTTTTTTGGCACTATGCAACAAACAAAAGAAGTGAAAATTGAGAACTTGTCGTGAATTTCTCTAAAAAAAACTTTTTTGAATGTTCGAAACTCAACCGATAAATAAAAAATATTTCCAATTGGACACTTCGAGATTTCACACTTTTTGCAGGAAATTTTGTTGTGAGATCGAACCACAAAGCACCTGTTGACTCTCCGACTAACAATCAAGCGATTATCTGATAAAGTCACAAGCCACAACGAGGAAAGACTAAAGCTTATTCATGCTTTTCCAGGTTGCAGGGCAGAGAAAGAGAAGAAGATTTGCATTAGATTCAATTTTTGTAGTGCTTGTTTCCGAACGGCCTTGATTTAACTATCTCGAAAAACCAGTGGCGAAATTAAACTGCACTCATAAGATATTCAAACATCTTATCAATCCATTCTTTGTAGCCCCCAAACCAGACATAAAAACCACTCCGAACTTTACAAAATATCAGCATATTTTGAAATACAAAACCGAAACGGAGTTGATAATTTGCGCTGTTTAAAGGAACCAAATAACAGCAAAGGCATCAGGCATCTTAATTCTCTTTTGTTTGAACGTCCGGCCAAAACCATGCCAGAGACGGTCGCCCATGACACCCGCGGGATCCAAGGAGACTTGCGGCCCGCTGGCTCGTCATCAGAGTAAGGCGGTTCGTGCATCACAGCCAAATGGAACCGTATTTTATCTCTTGAAAAGAACCATAAATAGGATTCGGTGTTTTGTCAAACATCGTGTCTGAATGAAACTCTTTGGTCGTTTTGCGTTAACTAGGCATAAAATCCAAGGTTAATGTTATAAAAACATTTAAAATCCACGCAAGTATATCTAAGACCATTACAAGCAAATATGTTCTACAACTTTGATAAAGATTTCTTGCGTTTCTTTTCTGATGCCTGATTTATTTAACAAAAAACATCGTAGCATTACACTTTAGCTTTAGGCGCAGGCGCAGAACTGTTTGACGGTTCCCCAAGTGTATTGCTCAGCGGTCTCGTGATAGATCTGGATGACGATGTCATAGGTCAGGCTCAAGTAGAATTGGTCCTTAGTCCAGACATTGAAGACGTTGACGACATTCTCAAAGATTTGCTCCGAAGTGGCAGTCGTGTTGGAGGTGACGGTGTAGATCCTCTTTTCGTAGGCGGAGAATCTGGTGATCTCAGTCTGATTCCAGCTCAGTTGAGCTTGGTCGATGGACCAGGAGAGATCGGTGATGTTGTTCTGGAACTTGATGATATCCAAGACGACAGAGCAGTCGCCGGTGGCGTGGGTGGTGCTCTCAACAGCCTCGGTGGTGGACTCGATGGCGGGAGTGGTCGTTTGGGAGCCAAAGTCAAAGCCGCCGCAGTCTTTTTCCTAAAAATATGAATGAAATACCCTTAGATAGCCGTTACGAAAGAGAAGGCAAGGATCAGCTCGTAGATGGATCCGAAACCGTCGATCTCAAGCGAGAAGATCAATTCCAAGGACCACTGGTTGAGGATCAGGAATTGGTAGCTCTGTTCGACGAAGTAAGAGATACGGAGTTCGACGGAGACTTCTGATTCGAAGTAGGCGGTGAGTTTCTCGACCAACTGCTTGATCTGAGAGCGTTGAGAGATGGATCCGCTGGAGGTGTTCTCGTAGCACTCAGTGAGGACCTCGATCAGAGCACAGCTGGAAGCGGAACCTCCAACCACGACCTCGTAGTTGGCCACACGCCAGTACTAAAAAAATGGATGATAAGTGATTGTGTGACTTACGTTGACGATGACTTCATAGAAGGAAGCGAAAGATCCGTAACCTTCAATTTTGATGGCCAAGATGGCAGCCTCGTATTCGCTGTATTCAGCAAAGAAGGCTTCGATTTTCTCGTAGATCAACACCAATTGGTAGCTGTAGGTGTAGCTGGTGGACTCAAGAATGACGGTCAATTCCTCAATCAGAACCTCGATTCTGGCAGAAAATTCAGCGTCGACGGCAGTGCAGTTGCGGAGAGCCTCGAACAAGATGCAGGAGCCGGAGGCGTCCAGTTCGACGATGGTAGAGGTGTACTGGTATTGGAGGAAGAGAACAACAGCTTCAAGATCGAAGACGTATCCGCTCCATTCTTCAATGTAGGTGTAGTAGACGAGCTCTTGGATCTCAACATGGATCTCAAGGAAAGCTTCGAGCTTGGTGTAGATGAGAACGAGCTTCTCGTCGATGGTGAGGGTCTTATCGAAGATGACGGTGAGTTGGAGCTCTTCGATGAACAGGATCCATTCCTGACGGATCTCAACGTCCTCGATTTCGATACTGATGTTGTAGAAGTATTGGAGCAAGAGACAGTAGTCGCCATATCCAAAGCTTCCTCCTGCACCAGATCCGGAACCTTCTCCCAATCCAGATCCAGAACCTTCTTCGGATCCAGAGCCAGAGCTTTCATCAGGTCCGGAGCTGGAGCTTTCGTGTGAGCCGGAGCTTTCAGTCTCGGTTCGACTGACGGTCCTTACAGTCCCCGGGGAAGTCCCCACCGGAGTTACAGTAATTTCCGACAGCTGCGCCCACAAGGAGGGCTAGGAACACAAGGGAAAGCTTTTGCATTTTGAATGCGATTCTTCGGCTTCGAGGTCGAAGAATTGTTGCTTTCAATGAGCTGTGGCCGAGCTTATATACGAAGTAAATTCGCATAAATTTCACGGATTTGCATTGATTTTGCTGTCCTGACTTTGAGACAGACGGGTGGCAAGGCTGGCTCGAGGATTAACTCTTGTGTTTCCTGGAGTTGCTTGGTACGTTTATCGTGACACGTTTTCATTGAGGCCGCGTTTTGCCCTTGCACCGTTACAGCAAGTAGGGCAAGTAAAAAGACATTTCCCAATCTTTATGACGCACTCTGTACTTTGTAAATGTTAAGTGTCTTTCCCAGATACTTAACTTTATCGATTTTCAGGAAAGTGAGGGCAAAATAATCTATGAATTACCTAAAGAGATGTCAGCATCACTGCAGGCTTAATACATACAGGTCGAAAGCGGATTACCGCCTTAATTTTAAAAGTCGCTGCAACTTTTAAGGAATACAGTAGCGCAGCTGATTAATTGGAAAAGGAAGTTACAAAATTTGATTAATTAAGTGGAAGGAATTGATTTAAACGTGTTTATTGGTGTTTTGGTATGTTTCAGAGGCCTTTGATGCCCTAATTAGCTTATAAATAATTTTATTGCCGTGTCCTGTAGAAAATATATAATATTTTTACTTGATATATGTTTCTGTTGGAAAGACTAGACAAAGAAGAACTTTATTTGAACAATTTAATACCACTGTTTGTCAAACCGTTGCCTTCTAAATTAATACGATCGGCAGAATGTTGAACGGACTGATCGCCTGAAACTCTGTAGCGATTACGCGTTCGTTTTCCCTTCAGATCAATCAAAGGAATACTTAGCGTGACTTTTCCTTCTGTTTCCACCCATCCCACACAGTTTAAAGGGTTACTTAAGTAGAGTGCAATTGATATTGACGTGGTATTGTTGCAAGAAAAGTTGAGCAGAGCAGGGAATCGATCACTGTCAACCGCGATGAGAACGGTCGAGGAAGCCAACATTCCTGCGGTAAGGAATGGGGAAATAGAGAGGTTTGAATGACGAATTTATTATGCTTGGACACAATTAGCGGCAGAATTAGTCGACACGCGGATAGAAATATTTTCTTTTTTAACGAGATTTGGCCCTTACCGAAGACAACCTTTAAAGATTTCAAGGAGTAACTGATACTTTCGAAAATCTTCATTATTAAATAATAAAGAAAGGCAAGCTTTTGGCGTGACTAAATTTCAATCTCAATCACTTCTTGACCTTCAGAAGAACTACTATGTCGCTGGAAAAGTCTTATCCAGACAACAAATGCAGTTTTACCATGAAAATGGCTACATCGTTCTGAAAAGATATATCTCTCCGAAAGATCTGGAGAAATACAGGTAGATTCTTTTTCTATAATATAATATCATTAACGTAGAGCGACGTCCATGACACCCCAAAATACAACCCGATTATTTAGAAACCGTTTCAACGACATCTGCGACGGCAAAAACGTCCCGAAGGACATGACAATCATGCGAGATGTCAGCTATGCAGCAATGAAAAAGCCAGCGGTGGAACGGACGGTCCTGAAGGTGCAGGACTTCAATAACGACCCAATAATGTTCAGCTACTGCAAAACCCCACAAATCGTTGAAGTTGTTCAAGATCTTATCGGAACACCGAACTCAACTCTGATGGCAATGCATGGAATGCTCATAAATAAACCTCCAGACGCTGGAAATCTGTCAACCAGACATCCAATGCATCAGGATTCGCACTTCTTCCCATTCAGGTAGAATTTAAAAGAATTTTAAAGTGGAATTACTGAGTTGTTGGAATATTAAGTGTTTACTGACAGTTAGTCAAAAAAGGTGCCCTACTTTAGGTAGGCTAATTGTTGCCTGAGCTGTTTTTAAAAGGGGTTTTTTTGGCTTTCCTAATTTTGAATTGAATCTAGCCTGTAGAAGCTGTTGAACGCTTTTTCAACTCATAGTCCAATATTTTCATAACGGTCTATTTTATCAACATGCATTTTTTAGGCCAGTCGATTACGTTTGTTGTGCCTGGACGGCCATGGAGAAAGTGAACCGAGCCAACGGCTGTCTCGTCGTAGTCCCAGGGACCCATAGACTCCCGCTCCTCGAGCATGGCTATCCCAAATGGGAGGGCGGGGTGAACAAAGCCTTTTATGGAGTCACCGACTTCGACCCCAATTCTCCTCGAGTTCATTTGGAGATGGAGGCGGGGGATACCGTATTCTTTCACCCAAATCTTCTCCATGGAAGCGGAGCCAACCGAACGGAAGGGTTCAGAAAAGCCATTTCTTGCCATTATGCGAACGGCAGCGTCTGTGATTACATTGATGTTGGGGGGACCAATCAAGAACAAGTCGAGAAAGTGATGATGGATGTGTTGAAGGCGCGCTCTCAACGTCTTGGACTACCGTATGACGCGAATTGGAAGCTAAAAGATCTGTGGCGAGGCAGAGCAAGGCCGGTTCTTGGACAGAGAGCGAGATTGTAGATGATAATTTAATTAAATAAAAATAAAAGTTGACAAGAATGTAAAGTTTCAAAGCTCATGTCTTTATGGGTAAAACGCAACCATAAACGTTTCTTCTTAATGAATCTTGCGTTGTAAAATTCTCCAAAGAAACACTTTTTCTTTAACGGAGAAGATTTATGACCAATTAAAATCACTGTAATCTGATGAAAAAGTTTCAGCAAAATAAAAACAGGGGCTGAAAAACTTCACCATGTACGGTTATTACATTCTCTCTGTAATAAAAGTCTATAGGATAACAATCGTTATCGCTGCTGATTCACTGAAAAGGGTTTTGACGTAAACGTTACTTCCGGGCATCAAAGGGATTCTCAATTTGAGTGTTTCACAAATCGGTAAAAAGACGGGTGTTAGAAGTAGTTGCAACAAATGGAAATGTGTAATCAAAAGATTGCTCACAAAATTACCCTCCTGGAAAAGCTGATTCAGCAAAGTGCCGCCGATAAAATCATATAACTTTTGTTTAAAAATAAATAAAGACGAATACAACAATCTTTCCCCCATGCTCTCACACAATAAATAATTAAATCTTTAAATATATTATACATAGGAAAAGGACCGAACGGTCTCTTTATCAGGCAACTTCGCTTATTACAGTATTAATATTACGGAGCATGGGTGGGGTTGATGTTCCCTGGGCACTTTCGAGACATCTTGTGGTTATCAACACGGGAAGGGATAGCATAATTGATAATTATGAAATTTTTATCATCGGACAATGAAAAATTTCAATACTTCGATTGCTGAGAGTCGGTCCGAAGACTTTCAGCCAATAATAATGTGCAGTTAGTTCAGAACTTGTTCAAACTTTTCAGCAAGTAGGAAAACGTGCATAGTATATAAGCGATTATCGTTCTTGAAAACGAATGAGTTCATTGGATAGCCATTTCTATTGTTTGCAGAATATTTTTTATTACAGCCAAATTACGCGACGTACATCATCATTAACTCTCTGTCGTCGTACGTATAAATCGTGTTGAAACCTTAGTCGTTCCTTGTGACAAACAAGCAACGTTACGGAATAGCCTTATTTAGAAAATTGTATGATGTGTCTAAAAAGTGGTCCCATCGGGATTGAAAAGATCCAGAGTACCCCGTACGCCTGCAAGTCAAATGCAACATAGGTATTGTAGAGTTCCACGAATTATTGGAGTAGCTTCACAGTAAGGATAATTTGCAAATGAGGTATAAGATTTTTCTTTCGTATTGAATGACGTCTCAACGCCGTTGTTGCCACAGTAGGAAATGTTGTTTGTGATAATTTTGATCTTGAGTCCCTCATAATTGACCCTCAGGGGATTAGATCGACGCTCGCAATAGGAATGTATAAACTAATGTATACTTGGACTTAGTGGCTGACTCTTGTGGTTTAATAAGTTGGAATTATTAATTTTTGTCGTGTTGAAAGTTTAGTCCTTGGAATCGATATAGAAGTTTTTTATCTGCAAGAAATTCCGGAGATAATTTGATTTGTTTTTTGCATACTTTACTGTAAAAACACAGGTGTTTTGATTTATGAAATTTTGTTCAGATTAGGAAACTGGAAACATTTGTGAGAGTTCGAAGAAAAGAAACTCAAAAATGATGTCATTCGATCACAATATCTTACATCCTACGACCAGTTTCCCTCGTAGAATTTACCAACTCGGATCATACTTTTAGAAAATTTATGTGTCTACAAGCTCTGAGAACACACTGGTAACACAGTCAGGATGAACGTTACAGAAGACAATTGTTACGAGAGCTATATTATGGAGACGCAGCCAGAGATGAGGCTCGGTTACTTTCTGCAGCTCATACTTGCCTCCGGCGTTTCGGTTCGAATTGTAATGGCGGTCAGATCACGACACAAACGGCACGTTCCTGCTCATCCTAACTTCAAGGTAATTAAAGTCAATATCAAACCACCACATTTGAACTAGATATTGATTAATAAAACTATTTCTTTCACGTTCAGCTTCTCATCGCTAGCGCTTGCTTTGCCGTTTGGTTGTATTCAACGTTCGAAGCCATTGATTCGGCGATATTGCTGTTCAACTCCCTAAGAGCTACACCAGAAAATTGCGCGACGAACATTTATCGGACAACATGTCTTCTAATAAAAATCCCATTCTTTTATGCGGTGCCAATGTTGAGCACTATACATGTGTTGATGTTTATGGAGAGATCGACGGCTTTTTTGATGAAAGGAAACTATGAAAAGAAAATGTCAAAATATGGAGTCATAATTACTGCCGTTGCGGTAAGGCTGGGGTTAAATTTTTTCAGCAGTTTTCAATACCAAATTCTGCACTTTCTTTCAGTGGTTCTGTTGTCTTCCCTTCGAGATCTTAATTATTGGAAAATTTACCCTGGCCGAAAAAGTAGTTCACTGTCAGATATTCAACAATGATACAGAAGTCCTCTTTGGCATAGCTCTGGAGCTCACCACTCTGGTTGATATTGCTACTACAATGGGCGATACAATCCTCAGATTTCGAGCGCGGAGAAGTTCTCGAAAAACAAAAGAGTTCGCGTGAGTCTTCACTCTTCTTAATGTATACTGCACGTCAAAAGTTTGGAACAGGCCAGATCTTCTTTGCGGCTTGAGATGGGAGCTTCATTTCTTTTTTATTAGAAGCTCCATGTATTAAGAACCTCAATGAATACATAGCCATGGAAATCAGAAAGCTCGTTGGAATTTTAAAAAAAATTAAAAAATAAGTGCGTCAAAAGTTTGGAACAGCTTTTGGAAGGTGATTATAAACTTCGGAATGGAGGCAGGTATCCTCGCATTTAGTGTTTCTGGATGATGTATGGAATCGGCATGCCAATGGCATACTGATTTTCATCGATAAACCCAAAATGAAAAAAATGCTTATTGAGCCAAAAACTACGGTCAAATTTGCGAAAAAATGAATTTTTTGGTTTGGGTTCTCTATGTTATCGGTGTGTAAGCGTTCTAAAATATTTAATGTGGTCGCACAATTGTACAAGGGCACTCAGATCTTCGCATAGGAACCATATCCGCACAGCATAATTTATGAAAATTTTGAGTTTTGCTATAAATCTTTACTTAATGTATTTTATATTTTTCATAGAGCGGCTTGGAGGCTAATTGGCTTGGACACCGTTATCGTAGAATAAAAAGATGTCTTTAGGAAGCAGAACCTGGCCACTATTTGCAACATCAAGGCCACATCTTTCAGATATTAAAAAAATTTTTACCCCCAAAATCAATATTCATGTCTGACCCGGATTTGGGGCGGGATAATTTGGAGAGTTGGTTTATAATACTGTATCGGTGTGATAACGATAAAGGCGCTTAGTTTTGAGCCATGCAGCGGCTTCAAATCCTAGATAAAAAATATGGGAATATTAACATTTCATACACCCGCTATTTTTAAAGATGTGGCCTTGATGTTGCAAATAGTGGCCAGGTTCTGCTTCCTAAAGACATCTTTTTATTCTACGATAACGGTGTCCAAGCCAATTAGCCTCCAAGCCGCTCTATGAAAAATATAAAATACATTAAGTAAAGATTTATAGCAAAACTCAAAATTTTCATAAATTATGCTGTGCGGATATGGTTCCTATGCGAAGATCTGAGTGCCCTTGTACAATTGTGCGACCACATTAAATATTTTAGAACGCTTACACACCGATAACATAGAGAACCCAAACCAAAAAATTCATTTTTTCGCAAATTTGACCGTAGTTTTTGGCTCAATAAGCATTTTTTTCATTTTGGGTTTATCGATGAAAATCAGTAGGCCATTGGCATGCCGATTCCATACATCATCCAGAAACACTAAATGCGAGGATACCTGCCTCCATTCCGAAGTTTATAATCACCTTCCAAAAGCTGTTCCAAACTTTTGACGCACTTATTTTTTAAATTTTTTTTTTAAATTTCAACGAGCTTTCTGATTTCCATGGCTATGTATTCATTGAGGTTCTTAATACATGGAGCTTCTAATAAAAAAGAAATGAAACTCCCGTCTCAAGCCGCAAAGAAGATCTGGCCTGTTCCAAACTTTTGACGTGCAGTATACATAATATATTCATCTATTTGATTTTAGCAATTTTGATACCTACACTTTATCAGATGCCTATCAACAGAAAGAGAATCTACGATTAATGACAATGATGGTCCCAATTTCAACTGTTTTTGCTGCTGGTCATTTAATCTTTGTTCCTTCTCTGCTCTCACTACATTCCTTGATTCCGATTTACGCCAAATTCAGGATTGGCGAAAAATTTACTCCGGAGGACGTTGAACGGTTGAGAGTAGCGGTCTTTGAGATCAACATGGGTGTAAGTTTTATGAGCCTTTCTTGTCTTCTTCAAGGCTTTAATCTTTTTAAATTTTGGAGAGGTAGAATTTTTCATTATCTTCCTTATGTTTTTACTTCTAGATCTTGCTGACCATACTGCTGATAGTGATTTCATTGTATTGCCGGATGGGAGAGAAACTGATGAACGAAAAGCAAGCAGCTCTGGATAGACCAGACACGGACATGTGCTTCTCAATGTTCGAGAAACAAATGAATGCCAAACTTATGTCCAAGAAATTCGGCGTTCAAGTGAAGAAACCCGCCAAGAAAAAGTCCTGACTTTATGTATTTATGCCATTTTCTGCCAACTCATTAAGGTTTGATTACCTCCCGTCTAAGGTGCACAAACACCTGAAATAAATCTTACAAACGTAATTGAAAATATTTTTTTGGGTTCTTGACCCCAATGAATCCCATCAATTTTGACGATGTTGATTTATTTCAAGAACACAGTACATACATTATTTTTATGTAATTAGTCGGGCAACTTTTAAAGGAGACTATCCAAAGTCAAAACAAAACGCAGTAACATTAAAGAGAGCGGCGGTATTGCCAGAATTGCAGAATCTAAATAATTCACACTTGACGCGCGATCAGTCGCCAAACTTTCGCTTTTTTCAGATCGCAGCCTTGTGGGCCACCCATCAGTCCTTCATCTTCCGGCTCGGGTTTTGCTGACTCAGTTCAGAAGTCTGTGCAGCCGAAGAATCTATGTAAAAATCGAAAAGGGCCAGTCAGTCAAGCCATCTGCCATACTGAGACTAATTTTATGTCAAAAAACAAATCCTAACATTGTACTACTTGTAAGTGAGTAAAGCGAATGTCACAATCGGTTTAACCGATATTTAAATTCAGTTCAGGAAAGGTAGGCGTTAATCTATGGACAACGTTGACTTTCAAACAAGCCCTCGAGTATAAATTCAATTAACTTACTGCCATAATTGGTGGCTTATTTCCACGCACGCTTGCTGCTTGACATTCGTAAGAGTGCCGCAGTTCCTTGTCCGTGTTGGAGTTAGATTTTATGTTGTATACGGTTGTATCATTAAAATTAGTGAAAGACTTCGGAAGAAAGGTTTTCTGTCTCTTCTCATTGGGGACATCTGTCAACCTTGACGATCTTTATTGATTTAATATTTTTTTGCAACTTCAAGTTCCCTTTTACATAAAAGAGATTACCATGGACTTAGAACACTTTTTGGCTAAGAGATTCTCCGTATCATGATCCAAGCCGATTTCAATTTTATTCACTGTCTTAATTACATATTTATGAATATGTAGTCTGATCCCATTCCCTTTGTTTGCGCATAGAAAAAGGATTCCCTAATGAGCACAATTCAACCATCGCTTTTTTGCGATTCTAATCTTATTGGAAGCTGTTTCTGAAAGAGCTTTTTTACTTCCTCAATGCTTTATCATGAGTACTAGACATCTTAATTGTAATGCCTCCTCTAATTGGCGCTTGCCGCGGGTCCAAATCACTGTTCTTTTCCGTACTTCCTCTTAAAAAAGATTTGTAGGAAGACTGTGAACGCAGATCGTATTCTTGTTGTTCCACGGTTTGAACACCCTTTTCTGCTGGCAAAATTTAAATTCTTTCAGTGCCAATTTCTCAGTGGCAGTATTTTTGCAAAATCCGACTACTCCAGGTATTCTAAGGTTGCAAATTGATAATTTCCTAATAACAGGTACCAAGTTTTCAGTGAAAAACCGATTATTTTATGTGTAGCCTTCACAGAGCTCTGTGACCTTCAAATCTTCGTGCCATACATAGTAAAACCTCATGATAATTTTCCAAACGTTTAAAAATTGATTTTGTTTTTATGTTGGCTCTAAGAAATTCGCTTACCTACCTATTCCAAAAATGAAAACTGAGCTAAAGTTTTTCGAGAGTTTAATTTTAGAACATAAAATTGTTATTCTTACATATATAATAGTTAGTGGCAATTATACCAGAGATTAGTTCTTAAGTGCTCACTGTGTAGTCAATCAGCCCTTTGCGGTTAAGAGGAAACTCTTACAAGAAGAATACAAATTGTTGACTTCATTGACCCAGTAACACCTAAAATTTACCTACACTGCGGGAAACCTGAAAAATTGTTAGTTTTCATTTCATTGTAAAATTTAATTTTTCCAATTTTGGCAAAATAAGTCAATTACCCTATTAGTCATACTTGTATGCCTACGAGTGCAACCAAGCCATGTGTTGAAGCTTAGATTACTGCCCTGAAGCAATTTTTTATATCTAGAAAGTTTGGACATAACGAAATGCCGCCGTGTGGTAATAATAAATGAGAAAAATATCTGTTTTGTAGGGTGGAACGTCTGCGCCTTGGCTTTTCCGTCGAGAAAAAACATAACCTTTATGTATAATATATTAGCATCCTGTTGGGATGCCTTTGCTTCGATGAAATTGACCCTTCTACAAATTATACGTACCTGAAAAGTATCTTGTTAGGGTTATAATCATGATAATCGGTTGTTGTTTGTAGAAATTTTTACTTTAGTCAACCCAATTTGTAACTCAAGGCTGGGCCCATTTTAAATTCTTTTCGGACGTGGATCCTGTCTTTTGGCAAGATATGTATGCGCCAATATTTGCCATAAATCGACTGGTTTACCGATACAAGTTCCTATTTCATTTATTATCGCTTATTTATTAAATAAACTTTTAATTTCAGCGTTCCGCGGGTAAATGTACATAGCTCATGGTTAAAGAGACAGTTGTTAAAATCAAGATGCCCATGAGTGACGATGACTGTTGCCATGAGAGTTTTATCACAGAGACTTCAGCTGAGATGAGGGTTGCCTATATACTTCAAGTGATCCTCAATTCAGCGGTTTCCCTTCTACTGTTACGAGCTGTGCGATCACGGCGTGAACGTCATGTTCCGGCCCATCCAAACTTCAAGGTAAGCAGTTACACCTTCCTCATAATAGTGACATTTTAAAACTTAAGATTCTAATTGCTAATGCCGCTGTTGCGACGTGGACGTTTACGACCTTTTCCGCCCTCACTTCCTCAATTTTGCTCTTCAATTCATTTCGAGCAACCCCAGAAAACTGCGCGACTTTGATGAGTAGATCAACCTGTCTTCTTTTGCGAATCCCAGGCTCGTTTCCCATCCCAATGTTCACAAGTGTCCATATGATGTTGTTCATCGAGAGATGCGTGGCCTTTCTGATGAAGAGCAGCTACGAAAAGCAAATGAAAATAATGGGAGTGACATTTACTGTAATTGCAGTAAGTTGAAGTCTCTTTTGTAATTGGCTAAAAATAAGATTTGTCCTAATTGTGAAGGGAAAGCCATTTTTCGCCGACTTCTTTATAAACCAATTTGGAGTAATGATTCATTCTTGGTATAATATTTATACGCACTTTGGTAATCTCCAAATTTAATCTTCTTTTCAGTGGACATTCTGCTTTCCATTTGAGTTTATAATGATTGGAAAGGTTGATCCCAAAGAAAAGGTGGCCCATTGTGTGCTGTCCGCCAAAGATGCGGTTCCATTCTATGTTCTATTTCTGGAAATCACAACTCTTGTAGACATTGGCACTACATTGGGAGATCTTTTGTTACGCTGCCGAGCTCGAAGGAGTGTTCGAAAGACTCGTGAGATTGCGTGAGTTTTGACATTTACATGCATATTATAACTTTATTAATTGAACTGTTGGTCTTCATACACAGCGTGTACGTAGCATGGGCCCCCATTCTAAAATCGGCTAATAAATTACGTCGTGAGCCCAAAGAACACAGCCCAAAGAATACTTTTTTTGAGATGTAAAAGACGCACTAATTTTCAGAAATTTCGAAAACTACACGCTTTCAAAAGCGTATCAACGAAATGAGAATCTTCGACTGATGACAATGATGGTCCCCATCTCAACAGTCTTTGCCGGGGGACACTTTGTTTTTGTCTACACTGCTCTACGCATAAGGTCATGGCTTCCAGTCTATGCTAGATTCCGACTGGGCGATGATCCATCTCCAGAGGCGCTGGGAAGACTTGGGATTGCGGTATCTGAGCTGAATATGTCGGTGGGTGGAGCTATGATTTTTTAAACTGTTAACGCCCGCAAGCGACAAATCAATTCGCGAAAATATTAGTTTCCGCCTTAGTACACAGCGGTGAACAAATTCGCGAAAAATACAAAGATTTAGAGGAAATAAAGGCTTGTTTTTCCTATGTAAACTACAGTTATTGTTTCAGGTGTTCCTTTTGCTTTTATTTACCGTAACGAGAATGTATATTCTAATGGGAGAGAAGTTAATGAACGAGAAACAAGCGACAACCAACAGGCCCAATCACGCCGTGACCTTTTCCTTATTTGAAGATCAAATGAATTCTCATCTCATGGCCAAACGACGGGAATCAAGGCCAATCTCAGTTCCTAATATGGGGAAAGTATGAAATAATTCCTCGTTTTCGCCCCCGCCCCCAATATGGCCGTTTAATGGCAGACAACTGTGCTTTTCAACGCCAACTTTCCTGGCAATACCTCAATTCCAATGTCATCATACATTTGCTTTTAAAAATAAACTTTAACCCTGCAATTTGGCAAACATTCAACCGTTTACTTCTGAGATAATGCTTGGAAGGCACAGAGCTCCGTAATTATTAATCATACCTCTGCCTTCTCCACAGTTTTTGATTAGCCGTATTATTAAAGACATAGAGACTCGTCGCGAACTAAAGTGTTTCTATTCAACCTTGGAATCCATTTTTCAACTCGTAGGAGTACGCTCTTTTACGTTTGTTACAGTTTTCAGTTTCCAGTTATATCTTTATAAAGGTTTTTTGAGTTCGAATGCACTCAAAAGAACTCGCAAACTAATGTAGTATATATATACGTTAACGAACTTCATTTTTTACGTGCGGTTGTAAAATAACTTTGTTGGCGGTAACTCAAAAGCTTTAGGGCTATATCATCCAAGTTTTGTGTTTTATAGTGGTGGTTGTACGTATATACATATGAGAACATCTTGGCGTTTCCTGGGCTCAAATGACATAGCGCCTACACTTGTGTTTTGTGATTCTAACAGTTTAACTATCCAATCGATCTTTTTGGCCAGCCAATGCAGATCTTGTTGTACAAATAAGATTATTTTTAGAAGTCCCCAATGTGTTGACGCTGTCTAAGTAATAGATAGTGCCCACCATGACCGACGGAGTAAATCAGCAATGTTTGGAGAGCTATGCGATTGAAACTTTGCTTGAAATGAGGGTTGCGTATGCCTTGCAGGTCGTTTTTAATTTTGCGGTGTCAGTGTCTATACTTCACGCGGTCAGAACAAGGAAAAGACGGCATGTTCCAGCTCATCCAAACTTTAAGGTAACTAAAGTTGCAGCTACATAATAAAAGAGTTATTAAATTCCATCTTCAGATTCTCATATGCAACGCAACAATTGCATTATCGCTTTTTTCGATTGCCTCAGGTATTGGTTCATCAATTGTACTGTTCAATTCTCTTCGTGCAACCAAACAAAACTGCGCAACTTTAATGTATAAAACATCCTGCCTTTTAATGAAAATTCCTCACTTCTTTCCCGTTCCCATGTTCACAGGTGTCCATGTGATGTTGTTCATTGAAAGAAGTGTAGCGTTTTTGCGCCGAAGCAGCTACGAGAAGCAGATGAAAATAATGGGAGTTGGATTCACTTTGTTCGCGGTAGGAGGGGCTGTGACAAAAGCGTATTGCCTGCTTTAGTGGAGCTTCTGCGGGCCATTTGAAGTGGGTGTGATCGGAAGTTTTGATGCCTCCGAGATGATTTCGCACTGTTCTGTGATCGGCACAACCAAGGTTGCACTATACGGGTCGTTTTTGCAAATCACAAGTTTGGTCGATATTGGATCCACAATGGGAGATCTTCTTCTTCGTTGCAGGGCCAAAAGGAAGGCAAAACAACTTGCGTGAGTCGTGTTTATTCTTTTTGAACTTGATACAGTCAAAACTCTGTGGCAGGACTAGAAGATTTAATCGCTACATAAGAGTTACGCATTCCGGAACTCAGGATTGTGAGCGAACAACAAAAACAAGCTGTAAAATTTACAGGGGAAGTACCCCAAGTGCGGCGCTCAGATTTTGATGAAACTTGGCACAGATTTAGAGTAACTTTATCTAAAATATATGCGACAATCCTAGCTCGCGTTTTGCAAAAACAGCCGAGATTTTTAAATAGGAATTCAGCGAAAATTTACGACTTTTTGCCGAATTTCGGCTTCGGCTTTTTCGAATTCGGCAAAAAGTTGCATACCTGTTTTCTACCGTAAAGGGTACTGTTTTCACAAAAAAATCAGTTTTTTCCGCACGAGACTGCCAAAGTTATGGCCAAAAAGCGTTTTTCTCTCTGACCGCTCTCCGCGTTAGGCGTACTCTCTCCGCGGCAAAAGTGGTTCAATATCTCGGTGGCGCTTGCAAAGCGCGAGCTAAAACTTTAAGGAATTGACATTTAGTTGATGCCCGACGTGTGTGCAAAATTTTAAAAAAATCTGAGCGTCGCACTTGGGGTGGTTCACGTGTTAATATCAGAGAACGTCTTTCTAGAAACTACAACAACTATACTCTCTCCAACGCTTACCAGCGGAAAGAGAATCTTCGGCTAATGACAATGATGGTCCCAATATCAACCGTTTTTGCGGCTGGGCATTTGATTTACTCGTTGGCTGCCCTTGGTATGGAACGGTTCATTCCGTATTACGCAGAGCTCAGGTTTGGCAAAGAAGTGCTGTCAGAAGATATGGGGAGATTGGCTGTCGCCGGGTTTGAGTTTAACATATCGGTGAGGCACAAGTTTATCAAAGGTTACTTTTCAGATGTTTGTATCTCTCTTATTCATCGTAACTCGGATGTACATCAGAATTGGCGAGAGGTTGATGACCGAAAAGCAAATAACTGTGGATCAGCCAAATACGGATGTCACATTCTCGATGTTTGAGGATCAGATGAAGGCTCATCTTTCAGCAAAAAAGTTGGATTTGACTCCAAGGTCGTAGATAACATAGCTTTCTACCAAGGAAACAGCAAAAGGCTTAATTGGATATTTTACAATCGGAAAAGTCATTTGATTTTTTTTCGAGTTCATGCCTGAAATGTTTCAACTTTATTTCCGATGGCTTGGCAACATATTTTTATAATACAAAAAAATCCGGATTGGCAAAGATATGGCCGTTAAGTCTTTTTGCCGCTCTTCAGGAATCAATATGCGACTTCGTTAGCGCATATCTGTGCAAAATATCAAGAGTATATGAGCATCAAACTGGAGCGCGTTTCCTGTTAGTTTTTAAATTTCTCCATTTATACAGAGCATTATACTGTAACAATCTCCATTTTCAATTGTTCAAGAATATTCCGAACTCTAATTCCTCATTCCAACTCCGTTGATAATTACAAAATCCTTCACCAAACTTCAACCTTTTTCTCTGCGTCATCTTGAATTGATTATCTTCTGAGCACTGTAAATTACTCGAATTTTATTTCTTTTGTAAAATACTTTTTGCTGTGGCAATTAGTCAATAAAATATTTCCAATTTAATTGTTGACAAGAGTAGTCCAATAAACCAGTTATTTTGATAATAACACACTCTTCGGGCACATAAATAATATCGTTAGAGCCAGCAGAAAGATTTCAGATCCTTCCCGTAATCTCCAGCCATGGAGACTGATTAAACGGTCACAATGTGATTCTTTGTTCTTTGTTTACGCTGCTAATTAAGACAAAGTCAAAGATTACTTGCTCATTTAAATATTGCGTAGGATGGCAAGACAAGACTTATGCTATGAAAGTTTTGGAAGAGACAACTCTGGTCAGAGCACGCGCTTTTTTGAGGTTGTGGAGAGGCTTTCAAAAAACATTTATGTAACGATTTCAGAGTACCTTTTCGTCCTAATAATCGTTCCCCAGCAGCATAATGTATTGAACGGTTGATGAAATAAAAACGGGTCAAAACTGGGCGGCACAACATCAACGTGATCAAGTTGAAAGCTCGAGATGACTCTACGCGACATAAAGACAATTTGAAGTAGCTATAGCCCGTCAGAAAAAGCAGATCTTCTACGGTCAAAAAGTGTGTGTAATTGAAGTATTTTTGAGAGTTTAGAAGTGGTTGTTAGTGCTGTGCATTTCTATGAAATGCCAAATCTTTGCAAGCACAATACGGAAGCTCAGATTTTCTTCAAATTTAGAGAAAATTTTCCTTGCAAATTTTTGTACGTCCTTTATTGGCTGAGATATCTAGCGGCCCCTGCGACCGAGAGAGCACTCAAACAGTGTACGCGAGAGGGAAGAATGTTTTTTGTCAGATCTGTGGCAATCCTGGACTAAAAAACGTTTTTGTAACCATCACCCATTGAGATAATCTTGGAGGTTTTCGCCTCAAAACTCGCTAAATAATCGAATTTTTGTTCTATTATAATATCGTAAATATTACTTTTAGTGGAACCAGAACACTTTAATCGTAATGTATTATAGTATATATTCTGCAATTGCAAACATCTTCCAAACTTCTTAATTTTTACTAGACAATAGTTTCCAAATTTTTTGAACAACCGTCGAATACGTTAAACTCGTAAAGTCCGTTTCAATTTTGTATCTGTGCTTTCGATGAAGCACATCCTCCAATTCCGTTGTCTTTGTTAACAGTCTCCTTTCTTTCATAACCCTTGATGATTTGTTGAAAGCAGTAGTAATATTTATTTTACAAGACATCTACGATGGATCCTGATGTCTGCTATGAGAGTTATTTGACCGAAACCACAGTTCTGATCAGAGTTGTCTATTTCACAATGATTTTGGTTAGTATATGGTGCTTGTTTACAGTTGTAAAAGCGATAGCGACGAGGAAGGATAGACGTATGCCAGTCCATCCCAACTTTAAGGTGAGTAAATTGTACGAGACATACAGGTTTCTATGAGGCTTGGCACAAGCTAAAATTTACTCCGTTTTGGTATGATTAGTTTCTTTTCCATTTTTGGAGAAGAAGGAACGATTACACAACAGTTGTTCGGGAAAATAATGGCACAATGTTGCTGAGCCGATCGTGTCGCTGAAGTGAAAAGAAACTTGGCTTTGCCGAGACATAATTCATTTTCTGATTTTCGTTGCGACTGAGTGCTCACTATTTTCCCGACAGACTGAAAAAATTTTGCTTTTTCAACACAAAATTTCCAAAGATTTGGTCAAAAAAGTCCTTCTTTCCGATATTTTAATAATAACTCATATTTTTTTTATTTCCATCGAATTCAGATAATGGTAGCCAATGGTTGTGCGGTCATCATCATCCATAGCGCAGCCATCGGAGTTTCCAATGCAGTAATTCTTTTCAACTCGCTGCGAGCTACTCCCACGAATTGCGCAACGATAATCGACCGGCTTTCTTGCCTCGGGCTGCGGAGTTTGCTGATGCTGTCGATTCCAATGTTCACCTGCGTTCATTTTATGATATTTGTTGAACGATTTGTGGCTTGCATGACAAAAAGAAACTATGAGACAACCGGAACAACATTGGGTACAAGCTTGGCTGTTACTGGGGTGAGTCAAACTTGGGGGATTCAAAGAAACACAATCCAAAAATGTGAGTGATAGTAATATGTAGTTTCGTTTACACTTGACACAAAGTCGCGTTTTTACAGAAGATACAAAAAACGCATTTCACATTTTTTATATGATCAGTATAATACTGAAGTGGGACGGTGAAAATATTTGTAAAATAATACATTTCAGCTTATCTACAAAGGTTCTTCCGTCATGAAGCACTTTAACACCGCACGTTTTAGCACAGAAATTAAGAAATGTATTCTCTATGAAATGCGAAATTCACCTCGATTTATTTTGCAATGCTCCAAGTGAGGCTGCTTAAATAAAAAGATCCTTGTAACACTACCTCACAGTTAAAAACTTTAATATGTATTTCCCATGACAAGTTACCATAAAACTCTCAGTCTCATTCCCTGTAAATATAAATAATATTAAACCTTTCAGTGGATTTTGTCAGCTCTCACAGAACTCTACGCAATTGGCCGAACAGACCTCTCCGCGACATACATTCATTGCTCCATTACAACCGACGAAAACCAGCACAGAATGCTGATCATCTTCCAAGTTCTGCTCTGGTTCGATGTACTCACAACCTGCGGTGACGGACTTTTGCGTATTCTCACGGTCAAAAATTCAAGAGTTTCGTTGGCGTTAAGGCCAAAGGCTCAGCTTTCGTAAGTTAAAGCGCGTTAACTTCAGTTGTACTTTCTCAGTTTCAGTACATTTTCGGGGTATACGTTATCCCAGGCATATCAGCGCGACGAGAATCTGCGAATTATGAAGATGATGTTTCCAATCGCCGGCGCCTTTTCTGCTGGCCATTTGATGCACTCATTGACTTCGTATTATGTCAGAACTCACTTTGTGGTTAAAACAAATGGCGGTGAAACTCCGGAGATAATTGCAGATGGAAAGACAAGGCTTATGGCAGCTTTGGAGGCAATTCAGATGGTGAGTGTAAACGTGAATATTATATAAGAGATACGGCCCGACAAGACTGTATGTATGGCATAAAGAACCTTTTCTCTTGACCCATAGCTCTTAATCCTGAAATTCTGCCAGCCAATACGTCAAGCGCAAAGATCTTCTCGGCCTATAAATATAGTCGTATTTCGGTTTTGTGCTTTGTTATTGTAGAATCGTATGCTTCACAAAAACTTTTTCAGCTCTTCATGATGACAGGTGTCGCCGTCGTTCATTTGTATACAAGACTGGGAAAGAAGCTCAAAGATGAAAAAGACTATGAATTCGGGAAGAAGAACTCTCAACGTCATGGGGATGTGTACTTCTCGTTGTTTGAAAAACAAATCGGTGGAAAGCAAGCGCGCAATATTACGGGTTAAATCCATGCACCATCTAATCATGGTGCAATGTATTTATTTTCTTCTATAGTTTTGATGGTTTGTCTCGTTTTTTACACAATACTATGTACTCCTTAGATTAGCAGTATCTCATAACGTAGACCTTTCCGATAGTAACTTTAAACCATTTGTTTTGACCATTCTGTCTCGGGACAGAAACCAATCTTTGTTTACGTCAAGCACATTCCTTGCGTCTGATGACATTTCAACTGATCCTTTTGAAATTTTTCTGATTTGCATCATATAAATCACACTATGTAATAAAACAACGGTCACAAAATTAACTTTTGCCTTTTTATTGTATCATTTAATACATTGTAAACAACGTGAAGGACGAGTTGTACATTTAGATACTCCGTACACAGTGCGCTACAATATTGGCTAAGCTCGAACAGGAAAGGTACGGGAAACCGTTTTTGTTACTGTAACCCTACCGCTGCCGTAGCCATAAGGCCGGGGACCGTAATATGGCGGAGGTGGTGGTGGCCTCCAACCCCATGGACGCGGAGGAGGAGGGGGAGGCGGAGGAGGCCCCCAACCCCAATAACGCTTTGAACGGTCTCTGAAAAAAAGAAAAACGATTATTAAAGTATATTGGCAGCAGCATAATTGAATGATTTGAAACATTTTTAATATTTTTTTTCAATATTAAAAGAAGAGGTGATTTTCACATATTTTAAAGTAATTTTAACGTACACTTCCTCCGCAGGAGTATCAATAAACATCAAGGCGAACAGAACAAATGCCAACGACTTCATCTTTCAGAAAATTGCTTCAAAAACAGAGAAAGTTTTATTAAACAAGTCCAAAAAATAAATTGACTAGTAGACTGGCTGTTTACCTTCCTTTTATGCCGACTTATTGTAAGCAGCCTGGTATTCGCTCCCCTGACTTCGACGAATGTTGAAAAAAATTCACGTTTTGATAGCCTTTCTTGAAATGCTTATTGATAAAAGCTCCAGATCAGCGGGTCGTTCGGCGAAATTCAAAAAGTAAATCAAATTCAACTGAGTAAAACGGTTCTTTGAGAATTCAGCAAATTCGAAAATAATTTGGAAAAGTAATTGTGAAATGTCTTGCAACATAATATGTAGTCGCATCAAATATTGGACGCCCACGAATTTGGAAAAAGCAAAAACAAAATCTTTTTTGGTAGACTCAAGTCAAAAACAAGCTCTTCGGTAAATGCGAACGAGCAACTCAACATTTTGCTGCTGGCGAAATCTGTGGTTGTAATTTGGAAAAAGCCATAGCAAGGGAAAAAAATGGAGTTAATAAACAATTTGCAACGTAGTGAACCGATACCCGTGCAGGGAAGCTCGATGACAGCTTTAATATGACCGGCACAAGCTTTCAGTAACTCTGTAAATGACCCTCGTGCTCCAAAAATATGCTGACGTTTCCAGACGTGGCGTAGCAATTTTTTCTTGGGGTAACATGTCGACACACTCAGAACTACAAAAGTTACCCTCAGGACAGTTTGCATTGCTTTTAGCCCAGCTTTTAAGAGTCAACTTATACTTTTATGAACCGACAAAGAACTAAATTTAAAGTGCACGATAACATTGTTCTAAATTTGTAACAAACTTCACCAGTATCTGAGCCTTGCACTTGTACTTGCAGTGTCAGTCACCATCTCTGGTAATTTCAGCTACCAAATATGCACGTCGCTTCCTCCTCATCTTTCAGCATACAATACCGGACCACTGAATGTAGTAAAGCCCAAAAAATGTAGCATAACTTTTCAGAAGCGGTTACGCACATAAACTTTTGGATTTTACGAAAGTTTCGTTCATGTCTCGTCATACTTTACTAGACAATCCCGGCTTCAATGAACACCTCCTCCATATGCTATGAAAGTTTTATCGTAGAGACCACAACTGGCAGACGGCTGTCTTACTGCCTGCAAATACTTACTGCGGTTATTTCGCTGGCCATTACTATTAAAGCCGTCAAATCTAGGAGCCTTCGGCATGTCCCAGCTCATCCAAATTTCAAGGTAGGTTGAAGAAGTTTTTTTCTACCCTTTCTGTCATTTCTATTCGAACGTATCGATTTTCTTTCTAGCTTATGGTTGCAAACATTGCTGTCATCACAGTCTTTCATGCTGTCGGGGTCATCATTGAATGCATAATTCCTCTCGCAAATTCGCTGTTTGCAACTCCGACCAACTGTCTGACAGTTGTGGAAAACGCAACATGCACTGCCTTAAAGATGGCTCCATTTACTAGCATCCCAATGTTTGCATTTATGCATGCAGCAATGTTTATTGAACGCTGCATGGCATATTTTAAAAGGGAAAACTACGAAAATTCATCTACAACATTTGGACTGTCTTCCACTTTGCTCAATGTGAGTTGCTCACAACTTTGAAGGTATACCACGGTACTAAAAATCTCGTATTTTTCAGTGGATTTTATGTTCCATTTACGGCGCATATGCGCAGGGTGCATTCGATTTGGAACGTGTCCTTGTAGCTGATTGTTTTGAAACAATGCCACAGAATCGTTATCGAGTTGCGTACCTGTTCCAGTTCAGTGTTTCAGTAGACGGACTTATGGCAGTTGGAGTTATCGGACTTTGGATTTTGGTGAAAAGAGAAAACAACAGAGAAGACTGGGCTTTGCAACGAGGAATTAAAATAAAGTCAGTGTGAATGGTCGCAGAATTTGTTAAAATCAACAGCCACAGGCCTATCGGCTGCTGTTAGTGGTATTTTACAGGCACATCAGCTTCAACGGGCAGAGTTAATTTCGAATCTTTTAGCTCGACCAAAGTCTACTCATTGTCTAAAGTTTACCAACGGCGGGAGAACCTTCAACTCGTCGGAATTCTGTTTCCAACAGCTATCGTCTGCTTTCTTGGGCATTTCGCCTTCATAGTTATCGGGTATTCAGTTCGCCGAAACATCAGAAATTATGTCAAGACGACTTCGTTTGAGATCCTGAGGAAATATGGAGATGATATTGTTCCTTTTCTTATTGGCTCAGTCCATGTCGTGAGTTTTCAAACAAATAATGTCACGTCCCATTTCTAGATGTTCACGATGCTGACGATCGTTACGGTGCTGATGTACGTTAAAATGGGCGAGCGGCTGATGAAAGAGAGAATGGAAATTACGAATAGACAAGATGCGGATACTGCTTTCAAACTCTTTCGGCTTCACATTTCCTAATAAATTTTTTTGGATTTATCTGTTTTTATTGTACATTTCTTGTATGTATAGAACGTAGGTGAGACGTGAGAGATAATCCAATTGGATGTTACGGTGATGTCTTACGGGCCGATATATTAACTTTCTCAAAAAGGGGGAAATGGTAAAATTATATTACAAATTTGTGGAATACTTGACACAACTACTGCCTAATACAATACCCTAGAAAATAAGTACATTGGTTCAGGTGCAAAACGAAAAAAGGTGCATTTTAGTGGGCTGTGGAAAGGTGATAAAGACAATTCACGTCAAACTGAGATAAGCTAAAACAGTCCGGTGAATGGATTGGTAATTTGCCAAAAAAAGACGCGAAAAAACGTTTTGTCGGGGGAGAAATGGGGAATTTTTGGGGCGAGAGAGTACGTTTTTGTGTGTCTTTTTCTCTCTTTCTCTGCGAAATAGACGAAGTGTAAAAAACCGATAGCGAAGGGTCTATTCCGGTCACCGGACTCCTCAGTTTGACGTGCAATTGTACCTGTATTAGCTACAATTCATAAGTAAAAGTACACAGTATTATTACATTTCCTTTGTATTATGAGGTCTTTTAGCTATAGTTCGTATTCCTGGTCGAAAGCATATAAAATTTTGCAGAGATGCGAAAAGGGTCTCCTTGTCATATTATCTATGCGTCAGGCAAGTAATGCCTTAAAATACGAAACTCAACGAAAAGGCGAAGTAAAAAATCGTACTTCTTGTGATGCTCATTCTCTTACCATCATCATGGTTGCAACGTACGTGAGAGTCGACAAAAAATTGATGAACGAGAAGAGAAAATTTAGTCACGCATATGATGCCGACAACGCCTTCGAAATATTTCAGCATATAAATATTTCTTAACAACTTCAAGCATTGGTTCTGTATTTGAAACAGTTTTACAACAAATATTTCAGAAACATTTAAAAGGCGGAAATCGTTAAGACTTATAGTTATTATGTAGCCATTTTACTGATTTTCGGTTTCTTTCTTTGACCTTGTTCCTAACAACCGAAATGTCAAGCTGACTTTCCTAAGACTACATGCACAATAGAGACTCAAACCTCTCAGAAGCACTTGTATCTTTGTTATTTCTGAGTCGACAGTTTTAGAAAAGATCAAAAAGCCCTTTGAAAAGTAAAATGTTATGGCAGTGTCAAATTCATTTCAAGCCTTTCAGTTTAAATGAACATCTCGCAAATTTGTTATGAGAGCTATTTACTGGAGACGGTGACTGGAAAGCGGATAGCTTACTGCCTTCAAATCATCACTAGTGCTTTAGCACTTGTAATTACTTGTAGCGCAATATGGAGTAGACGTCAACGCCTTATTCCAGCCCATCCGAATTTCAAGGTGAGCAACATTAGCAACTTGCAAAAAATTTGTAAATTGTTTTATACGACTGCAGCTTATGGTGTTTAATCTTGCTGTGATCACGGTCATTCACTCCCTTGGGGTCTTCGTTCAAAATGTTGTATATCTGTTCAACTCATTGAGATCAACACCTGATAATTGTGCCACAGTCATCAGTAATGCGTTTTGTGGTTTGCTAAGAGCACCATCATTTTATGCGGTCCCTATGTTTGCCTTCATGCATATGACGATGTTCATTGAACGATGTGTGGCGTACGTGAAAAGAGATGAGTATGAAAGACAATCTAACAAGCTTGGAATGGCGTTTGTACTCCTAAATGTAACCGATATTTACAGTTACATGTATACATACGCAAACTTTGAGATACTTTTACATATTTCAGTGGATAATTTGCATTTCTTTGAGTCACTACACTATTGGCGTGGATATCTTCAGCAATATTCCCAGAGTTGAATGCACACCCACTCTGTCCCCCTATATCAGAACAACTGCGCTTTTCTATCTTGCCTGCGTTTTTGTCGATGCGTTAACGGCGATTGGCGATATTATTTTGTGGATACAGGTTAAACGGGAAAGTAATGCGGAACAATGGGCGATGTGGATATCTAACAAAACTAAGTGAGTTATTTAGTATTCATTCGATGTTCTTCGTGGACCACCAAAACTTATAGCAACATTTGCAGCCCAACAAAAACCTACTCATTATCCAAAGCATACCAACGTCGAGAGAACCTTCGAGTTTTAGGGATAATGTTTCCAATTGCCTTGACTTTTACCACCGGACACCTTATATACACAATAGCTGGAAATAGAACGTACCATGGATTTGGAGAATTTATAAAAGAGTCGTCCACGTCCATTGAAGGACTCATGGACTACCAAAAAGATATTATTGCCTTTACGACAGGATCCCTGCATCCTGTAAGTTTTACAGATCTAAGAATTTACCATAAATTTTTTCAGATCTTCACTTTGTTAACAATAGTCATGGTGAAAATGTATGTCAGGCTTGGTCAAAAGCTCAAGGAAGAGAAAAAAGAAGTGATAATTAAACAAGATGCCGACGCCGCTTTCAAGATTTTTGTAATGCATATATCGTAAAGTCAGTGATAACATGTTTTTATTAGTGGAAAAGGAATAAAGGCAATGATAAAAAGATGGAACGTAAAAATATTTATAAAATTAGTGAAAGAAATGCTCGGCATAAAAGTCTAAACCACGCAGCACCCAAAGCTGTTTAGAAACATCATTTTCAAGTTAAAACTGTTACACCCGTTTCTCGCAAAGAAAATACTGAGAAATCGCTACACGAACACAAATTTTGCATAATATTATATAATGCAACACATATGCGCAGTAAAATTTTTACGATATAGAAAAAAAGCATAAGGTTCGTAGTCTTATTCAATCATATTTCTGCAGATCAAAGTATTCGCTCGTTAAGGCAAACGCATCGATCAATGTTTCCACATATATCGCCCGTTCTATAATCTGAGTTCTCCAGACCACATGGTATAGTATCAACACTCTTTTGTCAATGTCTAATAACAACCTGTTTCAAAACTAATATTTTTCCCCAACGGCCGTTGAAGGAACTTTTGTCGGGTGTTTACAAATTAGTTTTAAAACCAATCGGGTTCATTTTGTCTATAAAAAATTTTATTTTTAACGCGCACGTATCTTCCCTTTCTTACCTTGTGTTTTGGTCATTTTTCGGGACTTTTTTTTGATTTTTTCCTCGTAGTAATTACCCGTTACTTATAATTCCTTATACTTTTGATAAAAAGACGTTATTTTTCAGACATTGAGATGGCAGCTCAAGCTCAGGATTGCTTTACGAGAATATGCCAAGTGCTCCAAGTCTACTATTTCTATTATCTGTTTCTCATAGGGCCTTTTACTATGCCATTTATCGTATTGGTTCTTCTTTTTACCCCATTTGCATGGCTTTCTTTACTTTATATCGGCTGGGCTGTATATTATCATCGTCAGCCCTATAAGGTTCCAAAACCTTGGGAGTGGTATCGAAATCATCCGTTCTGGGATCATTATGGAGATTATTTCCCTGTCCATTTGCATAAAACTGCAGAATTGCCCCCGGACAAAAACTACTTGCTAATGTAGGTCATGTTTCAGTCTTATTGTTGGATAGCCGATTTGTGGACAAAACTTGTAGACTTGTAGACAACATTTTATTTAAGGAATTTTTAACTTTCAGCTGGCATCCCCATGGGATTCTCTCGTTTTCAGCTGGCATTACCTTGATGACAAATAGAGTTAGATTTACCGAAAAGTTCCCAGGCATAACCCGGTATGCAGGAACTTTAAATCTCCATTTCTTGTTCCCCTTGAGAGCATGGTACTTGGGAATTCGAGGGTTTATTCCAGGTGAGATTCTGCAATTCTTGGCTGATCAAACATCAAAGTCGTTATAAAATAAAATATAAAATTTCAGTCTCCTTCAACTGCTTAGTTCAAGCCCTCTCTCGGAAAGATGGCGGAAACGCAGTCATCGTTGCCGTCGGCGGAGCTGAAGAGTCGTTTGAAAGTCATAAAAGCAACTACAAACTATGTCTCCTGCGGCGGAAAGGGTTCTGTAGAGTTGCTCTAACAACCGGAGCCAGTCTGGTGCCTGTTTACGCTTTTGGCGAGACCGCAACCTATTACCAAGTTCCTAATCCAGTTGGATCACCATTAAGGAGATTCCAGGAGTTTATCAAACGAACTATTGGGGTTGCCCCGGTTTTAATTGTGGGGAGAATGGGGTTCTTCAATATCCCCGGACCATTTCCTTATCGGACCGAGATCAACACTGTTGGTGAGCAAATTTGAAATAGGTTTTAGAATATACCATAAAGAAGCACGTGGAAATTAAATGTAAATTACTTTCAGTTGGATCGCCAATCCCTGTCGAAAAAGTTGAGAACCCAACGAAAGAACGGATCGAAGAGCTCCATCAAAAATATAAGGAACATCTTGTCGAGCTGTTTGAAGCCCACAAAGAAAGATTTGGAGTTTCGAAAGATGACCATCTCGAGTTTTATTGAATTGTAAATAAATTGTGTATTGATTTCTATGGGCTTTAATTTAAAAGAATATGAAAAACTTCATTTGCAAGTACCGATCTTTATTCAATCACCTGATTCATGATAAAGCTGCAAGAAAATGAAAACAACCAATACTTTGAAACAAAATATGCCCACTTTTTATTTTTTTGCGTATTGAAACAGGTCCTTATCAAGCTTCCTGGAAAACGCACACTTTGAACATTGTTTCTATTTGCAATACATATTATTTATGTAAAGATAATCCTTGTGTATAAATGAAAACAACAAAAAGTAAATAAAGGTCATAAGTTATAGAATTTTCTGTATTAGTGAGTATTAGTACCGTCTTGTCTTTTCGAAATGCAGGCAACTCTCCGAAGATGACTAGAGTTCTGGCAGATGGTATTTTACATGAACATTTACTTCTTAAACATTCTTTTTATACTTGCACTCTCCACTTATTTACTTTTCTTCACTTCGTACTGGTATGCGACAATACTGTATACTACTTGGACAATCTGCAAATGGCAACAACCTATTCTAGCATTTGAACCATTTGATTGGTTCCGAAATAGTTCGGTAACACAGTATTGCTGTGATTATTTCCCTATTGTATTGCATAAAACGGCAGAGCTCAAGGCCGATAAGAATTATTTGATGGTGTAAGTAAAAATTTTGAATATGATAGTGCACGCTTTTTCTTCGAAGCGTGCACGTCTGTACTTGTCTTGCCGTAACAATTACTGTTTTATTTAGCTACCGTCCTCACGGAATTGTTGGTGTCGGTGCTTGTTGTACCGTTGGATCCAGCGGCTCCAAATTCACAGAGGTTTTCCCAGGCCTCACTCGCTTCTGTGCTACTCTTGATCTGCATTTCAAGTTCCCTATACGAGCCTACTCAGCTGAAGCTTTGGGCTTCATTCCCTGCTCTTTTGAATACATTGTTCAGAACCTATCAAAACCGGACGGTGGAAATGCCTTGTTTTTGGTTGTTGGCGGAGCTCAAGAGGCGTTGGAATGCCATGAAAATGTGTTTCGATTATGCCTGAAAACCCGAAAAGGGTTTTGTCGAGCTGCTTTGATTTCTGGAGCTCAATTAGTGCCGGTTTTTGCGTTTGGAGAGAATAAAACGTTCAAGACAGCGCATAATCCGGTTGGATCCAACTTGAGAAGTTTCCAGGAATTCACAAAGAATATTATTGGGTTCAGTCCTATGGTATTTTATGGAACCAGCGGAATCCCTGGCATTCCCGGACCTTTTCCATTAAGACAACGGTTAGATGTTGTTTGTAAGTATATTTTATACAGTTTTGTCAACACTGACAATTATTAAGTTATCACAAGACAACCCTAAAACGCATCTTATACATCGCGTCTGAATTTTCAGTTGGAGCCCCAATTCCCGTTGAAAAGACCGAAAATCCTTCTAAAGAACAAATCAACGTTCTCCATCAACTTTACATGGACCAGCTGGTCGAACTCTTCGAAAAAAATAAAACTTTATATGGCGTGTCCAAAGATTCAAAAATTGAACTTTTTTAGAAAAAGTATCCAGCCATTACTGATTTTAATAATCCAAAATCTTAAAATGAAAACTATTTTCACGACAGATATTCTTTTTCTTTCAAACGCAATAAACCTCTAACGCCGCCTTAAGACATACACTACAAGAAAGCCATACCCCTCGATAAACCTCATCTATTTACCTATTCAAACCATAACTACCAATTTCAAACGAACGTCGGCGGGACTTAAACAATGATTTCAATGTAAAAAGCGGAACGTTGCCATGGCTACTCGATAACGAGTAATGATGCTCAAAAACTAAAAAAGTGAGAAATATTCTCCAATTTATAATTTACTTATCATGACCCACGGATTCTAAGGACTGGAATTCTCATGTTATTAATATTGCAATTGTTAGGGATCGTTTAAGGGGGGAAGCACGATGAAGCTTGTTGTTAACTGCGCGAGAAATTAAATGGAGTTAGCTCTGTAAAGCCACTTACTTAAAACGGACGACTTTCATTGACCATGCACGTCTATAAGGCAATCTATCCAACTTCTGAACGGAATCGTTTTTTCTGTGTTTACTACCTCATAAAATTTCTAAAAAAAAATTGTTTCCCGAAAGCCTTCAGCTTTCTGTAATTTCAATAATCTATTATGGCCACCCATGAAATTGCAAGTAGCAACCGGTGTAAACACACAGAAGAATTATTTTTTGGAAGCAAGTACATGTGAAGTTAGACATAAGATCTGAAACACCCCGTATTTACTCTTTTTCGGCCATAGTGCGAATTTTTATAGAGACATGATGTATGGTTTTAAAAGTTCATTTCATACTTTTTTACTCTTGCAACCGTAATGAACCATTGACTCGTACTTCCGGTTAATCGAAATTTCATTTTTTGCAGAAAAAGTCAATTTTGTCCAAAAATATGGGATTTATACGTCCAATGAATGTTCTTACATCAAATTTTGATAGGTCCAAACACATCTTTTGTTTTTATATTTGCATGTATTGTCTATTAATAAATTATACACTATTTTTGTTTAGAGGATACAATGGGTAACGAGACGTCTGTGGAGGCGCATCAGCCGTTGGCGCAGAAACATTTGACGATCACGCTGGAGGTACGAAATATATTTAAAATGTTATATAGCCATCCATCATGATTAACATCTCTCAATGTCCTATAAAAAAGATACATTTTAGTCATATACACACGAGGAAAATAATTCTCGGTTTTTTATTGCAACTTTTACTCTTCTCATTAGATGACGCATTCCCTCTTAGCGTACACTTTCAGCGGCCTGACGTGCTAGCGTTAATGGATATCGACGGAGATCACGGAGTAGCTTATCAGCTGATCAAAAACAGCTGGCTAGATGAAATCATCGATGTAAAGAAGGTCATGTACATGCATTGCTTTCAACTCCCCAATAAACCCTTCAGCGTAAGGCAAAAATCAATCAACGCCATGCATTTTAGACGCCTTTATTGACTTCAGTGAACAATCCAGCGTACATTCAAGCAAATGCTCGGGTACGGCACGCGTTTTGTAATGTGTTGGGGAAAATGGACGAGATGGGAATCAAATTGATTACTACTGCATATCTCGGAAAAATTTTTACGAGAACGACAATGTTCTTTCAGCGATCTATTAACAATGCGGTAAGTGAATCTGCCATCTCTGGACGGAAGTGTTCCAAATTGGGCGAGTGGTGATAACAAAAGTATTCGAGATGCAAATCTCGGCTTGGGTTTTTTTAAAACCAAAAAGTTTCAGCACGACCAATCTTACAACCCGGTGAACGCAGAAGAACGGTTTCTCTGTGTCGCAATCAGAAGTTACAACTCTCTCCTAATCCCCGCCTCCCCAGCCTACTGTCGATTTCCAGTCAGCTGGGTCCATCACGAATTTAGTAGCCTAATCGAGAAAGAAGACATAAACGACGATTATATGGAGATTACATTCAAAGAAGCACCATTCGCACCATATCAAACAAACTACGAGTCAATGATCCACGCCAAGCGATTGTTTCTAGGGCTGGTTCGGCAGTTATCACAGCGGGGTTACGAGTATGTTGCGCCAATTAGCGTAAAAGGAGGAAGTCGAAACGATACAATGCTGTTTAGAATGGTAGGAGAGATTTTTTAAATCAATAAAAACATGTTTATCCCGACAAAATGATAATATCAGTACTAATTGTAGACTCGACAGCCCCCGCCAACAGATAAAGTATACTTCTTTATCAGTCCAGAAGAAAAGAATCGTCTAAGGCTCTACGAAGCACCACCTGGAGTCGCAGACATTGTCAGAAAGTCCATATCAGCTATCACTCTCAAAGAAGTCAAAAGACCTTATGTGAGTGATCCACAGCGATGACTTTTATCTTATTCTACCTCGTAAAGCCATTAGAATACAAATTTGACATCGTAATAAAATTTCAGATGGGCTGTATTGAAGTTTTATTCGCTGGCCAACCGTTCTACGCAGATTCCAAACTCTTAACGCAAACACAATTGGATATATTGGAGATGATTGGCAATTTATGGATTGCGGGATATAAATTAGTAGGATCCCTACAAACAACGCTGAATATGTGCGAAAAAGTAAGTTCCAATAAATACTGAAAAAGCCAATATTCCAAACAAAAATCCCTTACTCGTCCCTGTCACAACAATGTTATGATATTTTACAACCTTCGAAATTGATGTACCTATTACGACAAAATATGTTTTATGTTACAAACAAGTCCTCAGACATGCATATCGTCTCATCATGGAAATAAGACCGCACCGTCGCATTGTCATCATCAGAGCAAAAGTCGTAACAAAGCTTTCCCTTGTTCAGACCCGAAAAAAGAACGGCTCGGATGTGAAGTGGGAAAGAAATGGAAAGAGCGCGAGAGAAAACCACACTCTTTTTGCATTTCTCTCGCTCTCAGCGCCCTTTCTTTTCTTGCGCTCTCTCGCTTCTTTTGGGTTTTTTTGTCAAGCGGGTAAAAATTCGTTGCAACGAAAGAAGCAAGAGAAGAAGGAGGTGAACTATAAAAGCATTTTGGGTCGCATTGAAGATGTTCTTGAATACTGTGGTACAAAATCGTAGAATGAAGTCCGGAAAAGCAAGGACCAAACATTTTAAAGAAAAAATCAAATAGAATGTGAATACGAGTACTAAATATATTTCAAAATACATTTGTTTTAGGCCGTAATGCTCTTTGAAAATACCACAGAAGAACCTGTACCAATGTTCGCTGTTTCCTTTCAAAGGGCAGATACAATTCAAGTAATAAGCGCTCCAGGAAAGATCCGAACTTTGATCAGAGAAATTGTTCTTGGTCATTGGACAAAAGGAATACAAGAAGAATGTAAGTATAGTAAAACACAGTCAATATTGATCGTTTTGAAACTTTTTACTTCGCTTTCCGCAAAAGCCAAAAGGATGATTTTTTATTTGTTTTTTATTATACATTACAATTCTTTTTTCAGTTGAAATAGTGAAAGGAATGGCGATAAAGCTCCGAGGCCGTCCTTTCGGCAGCCGCGATGTCTCCGCTGATTGTCAACATGGCCTTCACATGTTACTCTTTATCGTAGATACTTTATATAAAGTCGGATGGAAGCTAAAGACAACCCTGGATGTTGGCGGAAAACCGGTGTCCGATGGAGAAATGGCCTACATTGAGGATGGAGTGATGTTGATTTTTGTCGCAGCGCCTAATGACGATGACTGCGGGAAGAATGGGAAAGTTCACGGAGTTGATTTTTAGAATGATTTTTTTAAAGATATTCTATGAATGTATGCATACTTGCTGATATGAAACAATAAAGATTCGGAATATACATATAAATCCCGGACGTTTATTTGTAAACCTTTTTCTTCTTTCACACAAAAACATCACCTTACGATTTGTATTAACATGAAAGATCTGCGTCTAATTTAGTGTAATACAATTCCAGGAAATTTTTAGTTTGGGGGCGATTCACTAGCCATGTTCGTTCTTTGTGTTAAAATTTGTGTTTTTGTGACGTACATACATAATCACATACCGTTTGCATGAATGATTTTGGCTGTAGTTTCTTTGTTCTTAAGTTGGTAGTCAAATGCATCCTTCTTTTTATCATTTGTTTTGTAGTTATTATTGAAATCTTACTAATTTTTCAAATAGAACATGAATTAAAAAAATAAGCTTATTAGAGCAACTGGTAGAATGGTAAAGACAAATTTTGTTTGAGGTGAAATGTATTTTAAATGTAGTTTGGACTTCGATTCTATAAAAAATTTACATCATTGTTTTTTTGTTTGTCCATCTAGTTTGAGGCTCACCGAACTATAAGATAAGCGGCGGGAAAGTGCTCGGAAGTCAGACGGTTGGGTTCGTCAATTTTTATCGATTGTTCCAACGATATTTCCAATTTGTAACCATTTCGGCCTTTTAAATTAACCAAGATCTAAAACATTGTTTCTGATATCGGACGAATTTTCTTTCTTTCTTAAAGAAATGAGCCTGAACTTTACCTTGTCCCACACAAAAACTCACCCTTGTTTGTTGCTGTTTGTTTCTTTATAAAAACAAAAAGTTAGGTTAAACCCGTTTTGAATTTCTCGTTCAAGATAACTTTCTTTGAATTTTCCACCAGTCGTTTTGGAATATATAATATATATTCGTTTTTGTTAAATACGAGAGTCATCTTGGACAAGCTAAAGCCTACATAATGCGCTAGAGCTGAGCTTTTACTCGTTTTTGTGAAGTGTCTCTAACAACTTTTTCCTTTGAAATCTCTTTTTGTAGAATGCGGGTTCTAACGTTTCTCCTCTTGCTACTCTGCGATTTGTATCATGCACGGGCCGCTAAGATACTTGTTCTCCCCGCAGCTGACGGGGGAAGTCACATGCAAAGTATGGCACCTTATTTTACAACGTAAGAACTAATTTTTTTCCAAATATTTCTGGATACCGAATCAATAAATTGTAGTGTTCTTATGACGTCAAGTTGACCGAACTTAACTTCATATTTAAAAGAAACAAGCAAGCTTAATAATCTGTTACATATATTACAGCTTATTCCTTCCAGACTAGCTGCTGCCGGACATGAAGTTCACGTGTTGGACACAGCCAACCCGAAACCGAAATACGTCTACACCAACGTGACCATGCACAACATTGTTGATCCAGAGAATCCAATGCACCCGAGAAATCAATGGGAAGGATTAGTGACAGTCTCTTCTTTCCGCGAAGTCTTCAAAGGATCCGACAATAAGTTCAATGGGCTGCTCGATCGGCGAAGGAAAGAGGTAAAAAGTTTAGAATAAATTCTGTAAAATTTTCTTTGGACTTACAAACATGTCATAGGCATTGTTATTGAGCGTTTTACTATTGCTCTTTTCGCGGCTCTTTGTCACTGAATCACAATATTTACCCATTTAAATATTTTTCTGACAGATTGATGCCCTTGTTAACCAAAACTGGGATTTGGTGGTAGCAGATGACATCTTCAGCGCTCACGCATGGGGCATTGCGTTGAAACTGAAACAGCGAGGAGTTCCGTATGTGTTATATTCAACATCGGGCCAGGTGGCTTCGACTACAGCTCAAACTTTGGCTTACAGTAAGATTTTTTTTGTAAAAATGTTTTCTTAAAACATGAAGTCAAACATTCTGTACTTCAGCGAGAAATCCCGTTATTAAGCAGTTCATGTTCCCTGACATGCCGAAAGATTCCAAACGGTACTACAATCACGGCAACTTCTTTGACCGACTCACAGCCTTCTGGAATGTTGCCCATGAGATCGTGGGGTTTGATTATTATCGTGAGTTTTTGGTATTATAAGCAAGAGAAAGTCACCTAAAACAATACATGTAGATGACTCTGATCCTTTCAGTTCAACACGTCATGACTTCGATTAGTCGCTTTGGTGTCGATAACTTTTCGTGGGTTCGTCTCCACAAATCCTCATCTCTAATGTTTACCGACTCTATGAACCGTCTCGGCTGGCCACAGTCCGAAGGAAATGACTTAATCAACATTGGCTCTGTTTGTAACAAAGCGGCGGAACTTGTGGATCCAGATCTCAAGAAATTTATCGAAAATCCGAGATCAAAGGGGACTATCTACATTGCTTTCGGGAATTACGCCAATTGGACTATGGCGCCTGAGAGAATATTGAATTCGTTCAGTTCTGCGTTGAGCAGACTGTCAGAGTACAGTATTATTTTCAGTTTCAATGGAAACCTCTCAACGATGCCGCAGCTGGATCATATTCGATATTTGAAATGGGCTCCTCAAGCAGCAATCTTGAACCACAAGAAAACTCGGCTGTTTGTCACACATGGAGGTTTGAAAAGGCAAGATATTTTCATGTAAAGATGCCTCGTGTCTCCTATGATATTCATGTCTATTATTCAGTTTGAAAGAGGGGATCTGCTCGCGCACCCCTCTAGTTTTGATGCCAATATCAGCTGAGCAAGTCCATAATGCTCACATGGGATTGGCGCTGAAATGGGGAGGATATGTAAATAAGTATACGATCACTCCAGAGGGTTTATACAACGAGATGAACAGGGTAGGTTTACTATTGAGATAGCTTTCAATTAGAGAGACTCGAACCTTTTCATCGCATTTTCAATTTTTTAGATCCTAACTCAATCATTTTACCAACAGTCTATCGATAAAAATGCCAAATTTTTGGTGGATCTTCCCCTCCCAGCTTTAGAATTGGCCAAATTCCACACAGAACGGATCCTCCGAGCCCGAGATGGGAAAGTCGTTTTTAGAAGAAAAGGAATGGACTTGTACTGGTATCAATTCTTGTACCTCGATCTCATCAGTGCCATACTTACGTTTGTCTATATCACTTATCGCTTCGTAAAGTATGTGATTCTTTCTTCTTTTCAGAAGGATGTGTAAATTTAAATCTTACACGTGTAAAATGTTATGTTTAGACTTTAGGATAAATAAAGGGTCTTGTAAAAATTTGGAGGTCATTTGACGATAGAAATTGTTGTTTGGAAAAAATGATTACAAGTTTTGCAACCGAAACTTTTTTCTCATCTTTCCCTTCCCCGTAACAATGATGGTCACTAAACTTTTGCGAACGGAATGTTTTTTGTAAATTAAGGCGTTGCCCGGGTCAAGGCTGATCAAATTGCGGATTCGACGACTTAATCAGTCGCATCGTCCCGCCGTTCTCAGCCTGCGGTCTTCCGTTTGTACGATGAAACTTGTCTTAATTGGACTGTTCGTTTTGGCGGCTTTGGCAGAAAGTTGTTTGTACAAGGATTTACAACACAATGACGGAGATGAATGGGTAAGTAGGAAATTGTTCGTTGATTTGAAGACTAAAGCTATAATTTCAAACCATGTTCAAGATAATTTTTTTAGGTAGAGAACACCTACTTTTTATTCCGTTGTGAATTCTTCAACAACAATACTTCTTGGCGTGTAAAACTCTCCGGCTGTGATTACAATGGAACTCGTTACGCGTTAGATGAGGAAAAGGATGGACGAGCTTGTAAATCACTTCCAGATGGCCGAGCTAAATTCATTCTTGGTCCCATTTGCGATGGTAAAGAGGAAGGTGAGATTTTTAGTCATCATTAAGGGAGGTATTAAAAAAAAGATTTAAAAACGGCAAGTAAGGCCTTCAAGCCTTGTAAAAAGCAGTTGCAAAATTTATAGAGGTTTGTGGATTACTGTATTTTTCCTTCTCTGCTATTCTTGCAAAGACGTGCGCGGAAGGGATAACATTCAAGAAAGATCACCGTTTCCTTGTAAGAGTGTAATATTGCAGTGATAAGGTAAACCGGTTCAAAATGTTGACTGCTTCCGTATTTGCAACCATTCATCATACAGTTAAAATCTTATTCCCGCGTACAAAAAATGGGATATGCGTATATACAATCTCATTTTCAGGAGAAACCTGGGACGACGATCACTTCCGAAAGACCTGTGTTGACGGCCTTGTCAAGTTCATTGGATGCACCACCAATGAAAAAGTCTATATTCCCCTTGAAGAAGAAAAAAAGTCGGGACTTTTCACGTGGAGATGCGAAACTGCCCCTCATAATGGGGTAAAATTGTATCCCACCGATGTAGAAAAAGTGAACTCTGAGATCAAAGCCAAAAATGAACAGAAGAAAGCGACTGCAAAGATTGTGAAGAACGCCGACAAGCTAAAGGAAGAGATGAAATCAGAGGAAAAGGAAAAGGAATTGAAATTGGACAACCTTTTGGAAGGAAGTGGACAATCGGAAGATGAAACGTCGACCAATGAGAGCTCTCAGTGAGAGAATTTAAAAATGGATAATGAAAATTTGTGAAAAAAATTAAAAATTAAAACTTTTGATGACATTTTTTTAATTCAAATTATACTACACTGATGTGAAGAAGGGGTTTCACATTCAAACAACTTCTCGAAAATTATGAAATCCCATAAAAATATTTTGAACGGCCCAAATACAGGGTGTTTCAAGAAATTTGGAACAAATGACTTGCTTATATCTTTTTGTTCTTTGCAGCTATCAACGAATTTATTCTTGCTTCTAAAAATTGACAGCGTGCGTTTTTAGAACCTCAAAAAAAATTTTTTTTCGTCGGCGGAGGGCCCATTTCTCGGCGGAGAAAATTAGGGCCTTTTTTAAAAATCACAGCGTATTACGTGGCGGAAACGCCGTTGCAACGGCTGAAATCAAGTTTACGTTACACCTCTGTCGATTTTACGGTATGCATTTTTTTGTTTTCGATTTTACGCGCACCGCGGAGGCGCGGCGGAAACTTCAGATTTCGGCGGACGTTGTTTTGGGCCTTCGGATGTTGCAATTCATGTTGGAAAAGAGGTTGGGGTGATTTTTTGTTGTCATCCGATGCACAGATGGCAAAAATTTCGTGCTTTTTTTCTCCGGCGGAGGATTCGGCGGAGGCTTTATCAAAGGGTCAAAGCAGTCTTACGAGTCCGGGAAAAATCTCAGCTACAAGAATCCATCAGAGCAGCATTGTCTTTCAAAGATTTTTGATTTTTTTGGTCCGGCGGAGAAATCGGCGGAGTTTTGTTTTTACCCTTTGATAAAGCCTCCGCCGACTCCTTCGCCGGGGATAAAAAGCACGAAATTTTTGCCATATGTGCATCGGATGACAACAAAAAATCACCCCAACCTCTTTTCCAACATGAATTGCAAAAGCCAAAGGACCAAAACAAAGTCCGCCGAAATCTGAGGTCTCCGCCGCACGTCAAGAAATTGCGGGCATTGCAAAGGTTCTCACAGCGAAAAAAAATTCATAAAACCTGTCATCCAAATTGCACATAACAACAATTTTTAACCTAATTTTTTTTATGGGAACTCTAGGGAGTGCTACTAGTCGTATACAACTGTTTTTTATACCGCTGGTACATTCTAAATGGGTGTCATCGTGACGCATTTTCTGAACATGGTTCGAGCTAGGCTAAAAATAGTGCAAATTTCAAGGCCGAATATCAAAAAAACTGTCCCATCAAGCGGGACGGGACCGGTGTAGATACTCGAAGAACAGTTTAAGGATTTTTTGACGTAGAGCCTATACCCCCATCCAGTGCTCTCTGACTCGGTATCGTCGATACAAACTTTTATTTAGACGTTGTATTCTTCGCCTTGGAAGACTGTCAAAAAACTATGATTATGGGTATATTTTGGTTCTATTAGCTTAAGCAGCTCTCGAGCTTTCTATTGGTATCAATATCTTGTGATTTACTATTAATCTTTATGTCAAAATATTGCAAACCATTTGGACAAAAACGGATTTGCACAGGGCAGAATGCCAAAAAAAATTCTAGGCTTTTTCATTGGGCGCCCGTTTTTCTTTTATTTTTTCTTGACGTGCGCCGCGCATCCGCGGAAGTGCGTAAAATCGAAAACGCAAAAAAAGCATACCGTAAAATCGATGGAGGTATTACGTAAACTTGATTTCAGCCGTTGCAACGGCGTTTCCGCCACGTAATACGCTGTGATTTTTAAAAAAGGCCCTAATTTTCTCCGCCGAGAAATGGGCCCTCCGCCGACGAAAAAAATTTTTTTTGAGATTCTAAAAACGCACGCTGTCAATTTTTAGAAGCAAAAAGAAATTCGTTGATAGCTGCAAAGAACAAAAAGATATAAGCAAATCATTTGTTCCAAATTTCTTGAAACACCCTGTATATAAAATTTCTAAAAATTTTGCCTGTTGCTTTGCAGAGGAAGTCGATATTTGACTATTTTTAGTTGGTGAAAATTCAGCACTTTTTGGGAGTGTAGTCCGATTGTATGAAATATTTTAGTCTTACTTTCTTTCACTGGAAAAGTCAGTTTCTTCAAAAAATATACCGTTTCCGTTAGGATAAATATATACTCCCCGCCAAAAGTTTTGACCCCCCTTCTAACTCGGCCCAAAGTGTATCAATTTGGACCAAATTTGGTACGTAGTCTACTGACAACCTAGTAGTCAAAAATATCATAGTAGGACAAACCATATAGCTGTATTTCAAAATCCAGGGACAATTTTCAAAAATCACCTCAAAAAAACGGGACAAAAGTTTTGACCCCCCTGCAAAAAAATTAAATATCGAAACCGGATGTAGCCCGAACCTTTTACAATCGATGCCCCATACTTGAATACAGATTAATAAATGCTTTTTCGTTGAATGCTTCGTTGCATTTGAGGATGCAACGCGATAAACTGATTTTGATGTAGAGCTGCCCAAAATGGTAAAAATCTTGTACTGGCGCTTTCCAAAAGTTTCAAATTATGTTCACATCATGTGATCTTGACATGTTATAACCTACATTAACCTTTTCCTTTCGAAAAAAGTCCGTGATGGCCTAGCGGTATCGATTCGGCCGATATCCAGTTGTCATGGTCAGCCTTGGTGAGCCATTTGCTTTTTGACTAAAGGTCTAGATGGGGTCGCTAGGTACTCAATCTAATCCTGAGACTTGTGTCTACTCTTAAAACAAGAATAAACCCTCGCTGACACGATCCCAAATGGTTTGTAGATGCAACTTTACCGATCTGCACCTTAAAGAAAAACCCGCTTTTTTCAAATGGATTTTTTGCGACCAAAAACGGTTTTTACTTGGTGGGCCAGGTAATTTAGGACGCTACAGCACCCGCCATACTCATTTGAGACGTATGGAACGCCAAATGGGCGGTGGGGATGGCATCGTACTCGGGGGCATCTACAGTAACGGCAAACTTAAGATTAAGGTGAATGAAACCCATTCCAAAATGTGTCAAATCGAAACCTTTGTGCATGCTGAGAGTAAATAGGAGTCTCAGGATTAGATTGAGGAACTAGCGACCACATCTATACCTTTAGTCAAAGAGCAAATGGCTCACCAAGGCTGACCATGACAACTGGATATCGGCCGAATCGATACCGCTAGGCCATCACGGACTTTTTTCGAAAGGAAAAGGTTAATGTAGGTTATAACATGTCAAGATCACATGATGTGAACATAATTTGAAACTTTTGGAAAGCGCCAGTACAAGATTTTTACCATTTTGGGCAGCTCTACATCAAAATCAGTTTATCGCGTTGCATCCTCAAATGCAACGAAGCATTCAACGAAAAAGCATTTATTAATCTGTATTCAAGTATGGGGCATCGATTGTAAAAGGTTCGGGCTACGTCCGGTTTCGATATTTAATTTTTTTGCAGGGGGGTCAAAACTTTTGTCCCGTTTTTTTGAGGTGATTTTTGAAAATTGTCCCTGGATTTTGAAATACAGCTAAATGGTTTGTCCTACTATGATATTTTTTACTACAAGGTTGTCAGTAAACTACGTACCAAATTTGGTCCAAATTGGTACACTTTGGGCCGAGTTAGAAGGGGGGTCAAAACTTTTGGCGGGGAGTATACATTTCTTATTTCTTCACCCTTCTATGGCCAAAAAACATCACCAAAATCTGAGGGGTAATTTTTCAGCGCGAAGGATTTCACTGCTTTTGCAAACCGCGATTCTTCAAGACATTTTTTTTTGAATTTCAAACATAATGTCGAGTACATAAATCAATAACTACGTTTATTACTTTCGTACAATCTTACAAAAATTCAAATGGAACTGGAAAGCAAAAAAAAAACAATTGAAAAACGAGCATTGTGAAACATTTTTTTGAAACCCGGAAAGGAGTCGTGTTTTCGCTAAAAAGAGACGTGACTAGTTGATGGACAAGATCCAGGAGTAATGCTGCTGTCATGTTTAGAGATACGGAAATCTTTTTTTTTACATGAGATTGTGGGTGAATTATGGGTAACAAAAGAGTTATGGCAATAGAAACTCATACATCAATAGTGGCTAAAATCGTTAAAATGCAGTTGAAATACAATACTTTAGATGATACAACAGATAACTTAGGGGCTATATCTAACGAGAATTATTTTTTCCTTCGGCGAAAAAGTTTCTCCCACTAAAATAATACAAAATCAATCAAAATCCTCTCATAAATTGTCCAACTCATACTTCAAACAAAGCTCCATCAACTCTCTCTTAAGCATGATCCCATTGACCTTATTTTTCGCCGAAATTGCTCTCAAATGGCTGGCCACGAACGCTCCGAAAGTTGCAAAAGTATCTGTCGACTGGAGCGAGCTGCTTGTCGAAGCAGGGATAGATGGCAAAACTCGTGTCGCACTCTTGAAATAGGGTCTCTTCCGCTTGTGAAGGGGCTCCAGGTCGTCGGAATTGGAGTTCTTGGAGTCGTCAAAGTTGTCCTCGTGCTTGGGCGAGGCTTTGTTGGAGGTTTTGGGTGAAGAACTCTCATTGTCCGTGCATTCGTTGGCCGCTTGAGCGCAGTTTTGCCTGCAAATATGTAGGTTTATATTTGGGACAGGTGAAAGGTTAACATTTTGCAAAAATTTTGGTTTCTCTACAAAATTTCAGATACTCCATCTAAAAACTTACGAAAGCCATTCCAAACTGCTTAGTGGTTTCGTATCCACATCGTCATCCTTGACAAACAGACATTCCTCGTTTTCGCGGAGAAGAGATGATTCAACAAGACGTTGCAAAATATCCACTGAACTCCGACCTTGCGGCTCTGTCTCCATCTTCATTCGAAGCGATAACAATTGCTCTGGCGGTGCAATGAACTGCATCTTCTCCCAATAACGCCAACAAACATCGTGGCTGGTCTCGGCGGCGAGGACTTTTTTGAGGGTACGGTTGAAGACGTCGCGCAATTTCTTCCATTCGATTTGGATTTCTGCGGCTGAAATGGGATTTTTAGATATTTTCGATTGATTTTTATTTTAGGTAGCCTCTGATCACCCGAAAAAAAGACGTCAATGAAAAAACAATTTACGCACAAATCTGTCAACTTTTGTCAAAAAAATTATCCACAAAATTGGATCACAATGCCAAATTTTTATTTCGAGAATCGGAAAAGGTTGAAATTCCGCCAACTTTCGGCCTAAAAATCCGTGTTTTCCGAAAAAGACGTACAAAAATCTTATAAAAAATTCTAATCTTATCTTGACCAAAGTTTCAAAAAAATCCGGCCTCTGAATTTTGATACTCCCAACAAATCTAATCCCATGCCACCTAAAAAACTACTGCAACTTACGTTTATACGAGTAGTTGTCATCCGAAAGTATCTCAGCAACTTCTGCGTATGCCCTTCGACGTCTCGAGCCATCGTTGTAATCGTCGGAAGAGGTGTCCCAAATCGCGGGCCTCTCCTTGACGGCGTTAATTAGGGTCTCCTTTTGCTCCGGTGTCAGACAACAGCTGGGGATTGGAGCTGTGGAGATGCGAGTGCGGTGAGCCATGTTTTGGAGAACGAATCAGTGGGAATCGAAAATTTGACCAAGTTGCAGCTGAAAGTTTAGATTTTAGAAGGGATTTTGCGTATTTTAGAAGCAAAATTTTAATTTCAAAAAAATTGCAATAAAACATCGGTTTGAATCAGTGAAATAATTTCCCCGGAAAAAATTGCACAGTGCAGAGACTGTTGGAAAATGCATATCAAATAATCAACCCAAAATATGTCAAACCATCAATTCCGAGCAATTTTCTCCCTAAAAAACAACGCCGATCCCCGGTTTGGAGGGCGTCAGCAACCCCGAAAAGCTCGGAACAACCAAGCGCAACCTCGCCGTCTGCCCTAAATTGAGAAAAAAGAAGCCGGCGAAACGACGCACAGTGCAGTCGAGGCGGAGTGGTGGGAGAGGGGAAAGAAGCGGGTTGTCGCAATCGCCCAGCCCCACCGCGAGAAGGGGCTGTCGCGGCGTCGAGTCGCCAACAACAGGGAGAAAAGAGCGCGGGATGACGCGACCGCCCGCCATTCCTCGCCTCCCACTGCCCTCGCTTTCGCCCACAATCCCTTGTCAACTGCCGCGGAGAGGAGGTGGGGGTCGCGGGGAGATGGGGACGCTGCAAAAAGCGAGCACAACTTTTGAGCTGGAAATCGCAGAGATTTTGGAATTCATGGAAGAGATTTCGGGGAAATTTGGATTAAAAATCAGAAAAGAAAGTCTTGAATTTTGCCAGAAGGTTAAGAAATTGCCTCCAAAATTTTGTCTGACGCTAAAGTAATACGGCAACATTAGGGCAGAAAATTCTCTAGAGGTGGCATTCTTAGCTGAATTGATGTCAAAAATCGACATCGAAGGGCTGACGACCAAGTTATGGGACCCGCAACGAGAAAATCTCTCAATTGTCTACCAAAAAATAGTTGAAATTTTTCATCAATTTTTATAACGAGTTTAGTAAAAGGTGCAACGATCAAAAAATATTAAATTCACTTTCCTAAAGGCAACGCATTTCACTCGGCCAAGAACAACATCCCAAACCGCAATCGTAATAATAAAACCGGGGGAGATTTCTTAAGTTGGCGTCAAAAGACGGATCCCATGACCCGAGGGCAATGCAGCAGAGAAAACTTTTTTTTGGGACATAAAAAATCGCAAGTGTTGTCGGGGCTTTAAGCCGTAATTGGGGTTGGCGGCTTTTGGAAATCTCGCTAAACCGATGGAACTATGGGCAATACGGCGATTAGATACTATACGGGTGAATATGCGAGATACAGTAAGCTACAGTCTGGAGATTGTGAGATTGCCAGAATGCGAATTTGAGGGCTCAGACTAGCAAAGCGTTAAAGCAGAGTGCAGGACAACGGCCGCCGGCTGGTTGTATTCGCCGGAGCGGTGGGAGAATCTTTTTGTGGCGAGCAACCCGACGGAGAGGACGGCGGCGGCCGAAATCTGCCTGCTTTTCGCCGGCCTCCCCCATTCCTCCTGCTGTTTTCCGCTCTCGGCACACAATTTTTCGGGAAGGCCTGTCTCGGCTTCTTCCCCCCTCTCCCATACAGCCTCAATAAGTTGAAGCCGGCAGCCGTTGTTGTGGCTGTGGAAGGCGGCCGAAGAAGAATTCGGCCGTTTCTGAAGGTTTGTCATTTCCCTGGAACACAAAGCCGCCGGCATTGCATGGTCGAGCAAAAAGGGTTTAACGGTTGTTGTCTTGGATGGAAGCGGGCAACGGCTTAAGAAAGATGGGTATTCCCGGAATGCAAAATATAAAATCAAGAAGGGATGAAATGCCGATATGGGCCCATAAACTACCGGTCTGTCGGGGAAATAATAAGAACTCGTCGCAGAAAAATAATAAGCAGAACGTCGCTGCGCCGATCGCGTCGCAGAACAGAAAATCGATTTGATTTTGCCGCGACATTGCTTTTTTTCCCGGCGGCGATGCGATTTTGGATGCGACAGATATTTTCTCGACAGTCTGAGAGAAGAGTTGCCAGCGACGAAAAGTGCGACAAATCGCAAAAAACACGAGAAACTGAATAACATTTGTTGCAGTGGAGACATGCTAATGATTTTTCAATTTCTGCTTTAAAATATCGCTTACTTTTAGATTGCACTACACTCCCGGTAACAGAACCAACAAAACTACACCTTGTCCCGCTGTGACCAACCTCTATCCTCCCCCACGCCCGGATCTTTGCGACTAACTCAAAATTTAATTTCCAATACTACTGCTCTCTTTCAAAACCCAACGTATTTGCGGCAAAGCCCGGAAAACGGCAACCATTCTCAAGGCCTCCCATCTCGGCTTCCCCTCCTTTTCCATCCGTCTCAGCGGCAACCGGCCGTTCTCTGTGCGCTTGGCCATAGTCTGTGGGGTGGGCAGGCGACGGCCTCCGGCAAAAACGAGGACAAGCGTCTTTCTGGGTCTCTTTTGCCACGCAAAAACAACCCCATAGACATACAGGTGGAAGGTTGTGAGGAGCTAAGTGTGCCGAAAGGTTGGCGAATTGCTTAGTGAGGTTCGGGAGATTGGATGTCGCGTAAGTAAGATGACAAATGCAATCTGATTATTAAAAATTATTCAAAAAACATGCAAAAGTTGAATTGATAACATCAGAAGCAAAAGTTGCCACATACGGGAAATCTCTACGCGGTTGAAAGCAATCAAAAAATCGCATGGCTTGAGTTAAGGCGCAACATGGCTATAAATTTAAACCTAGGTCTATGGCGGTCGAAGGGAAACAATGGTTTTTTTGTCAACTTTAACTTTTATATGGTTATTTTATCATATTTATTGTTTGCATTATGATCTTCACACTGTATCTACTCACAATCAGCGATATTTCACCATAATCTCAACTCCGGACATATCTCATTCCGCTAATTGCAACAACTCACTAAAATCTCAAAGATCGCCCCATATTATACAAAAGAACTTTATAACCCCCTTAAAATATCATGAAGCAAGCCCGAGTTGCATATAATAACCGAATTTTCCATGAACAACGCGGTACGTCACTTTGGAAACTTTTTGGCCTCTCCGAAAACATGGAAATTCTCGTTTGGGAGTAGTCGCTCGAACAAAAAGTAAAAACGGCACTGCCAACCGCCGGCCGTTTTCGCCCTTCGTTTCTGAGGCTTTGGAGGCCCACCAAAACCCCTGCCCGAAGGGCCGCCACCGGGGCCCGAGCAGCCAAGCAACATTGCCAATTTGTCGTCTCTTTTCTCTTTCACTCGCTACTGAAAACAGACGAGAACTAAACAAGTATTAGAACGGAAAACCCGATGCTCTCAGGGTACTGGTTGTAAGATGTGGAATCAGAAAAATATGTTAGAAATGCCAACAACATTGATATAACCAAGAGATAAATTAAAAACTGTACGTAGTAGAAAGAAAACGGCAAAAAACGAATTTTAACACAACCGCTTTTAAAAAATCAGTGATGATTCCTAACAAAGATGATAAAAAGGCTTGGGCAACAAGAGTTTCTATGGCCTTTCGTGTGCCGCAGTTTTACGCATCAAAAAGAAAAAAATAAATTTTCTTATTGAAGCTCACATCCAAAGATGCTGAAAGAAACCAAACACCACTATTTTAATGGTTACAGGTGCAACTTGCAAACTTTCTTTCGCCTTTTGAACCTTTTGCTTGTGCCCTTTTAAAGTAACTGTTCAGCAGTAAAATGTATTTCCTAGAGTGATTTTATTTGGTTATCGCAAGGTTCACAAGGAGTTGGTAAAAAATTTGGACTGCTTGTTGGCTACTTCTGAAGTCGACAAAAACGAGTGTAAAGATTCTAATAATAAAAAATAATCTTTACACATATCTTGAGCACTAAAATTCTTCATGTGACCTATTTTTTTAACATTGAGTTTCACAATCTGTTAACAAAAAAAAACGAAGCTAGTGCTCCTTTATAATTTGCAAGACATGTCATTGAAGTAAGCCCCAGATCTTTTTACAATTTTTCTTATTTGGCGGTTTGCAGCCGATGCTTAAATATTTATTTTGCGCTTTTTGCAGCTGGAAGAAAATATGTCGTTTTCGATTTAAGTTTGGCTTTAAAAATTTTGATATCTGACTCATGCGGTGTCATCTTGACTGACAAAAAACAATATTTATAATACCGTCATTGCAACTTCCTCGTCCACAAATTCTTAAACCCCCTATAATTCTAATCTCTTGCATACAATCTGCATCATTTATCAACGAACTCTCACGAGGATTTGAGTCAGTTGCATTGTTGTTTATCAACAACTTTTTTGGAGCTTGATTGTCAATCAAAGTCCATTTTTTCTTCGTTTTTTTTCCTCAAACTTCACCCATGAAAAAGAGAGGTCACAAATCACATTTATGACACTTTTCGGTTGTAGAATGGGACAAAAACGCCGTCTTTTTTGTTTTATTGCACTTCTCTGGAGGATTTTCGGTGGACATTCCTTCGAAAGTTGAATATTTTACTCGCTGTAGAAGCGGAAATCTTGATTTTTGGCAAAATAAGATTTTAATTTTTCGCTTTTTGCTTAGCAAATTTTGAAAATAATTTTTTGCTCTATTTTCTTCTACTTATCATCCTTTATTTAACGTGCAATGGAATGGCAAATGGCCGGTGTGGTAAGTTTTTAAGCCCTTTTCCGGACGCCTGATTGCGGTTTGTGTTTTAGGCGCTTCGGCCCCAAAGAATAAACTTTTTTGGCGCTGTTTCCGGCCAGTACACTTCATCTTCATGCCGGTGTTTAACGGCGCTTCAAAAACATTGTCGTAAACGATTTGTTTGGACTGCTTTTTGATGAAAAATAGGCATTTTTTTACATTTTTTTAATAATTTATAATCAACATTTTAGACGGGATAGAGATGGTTAAAATTAGAGTCAGACTCCATGAAGATCTATATACTAAAAGCTCATTTAATGAGCTCATTTCTCTCACAAAGACAAGCGCTGAACATCCCGACCGCCGCTGATAAACGAATGATTTGTGTTTAGTTTAGAAACCGAGAAAAAATATTTTTGTAAGTAAATCTTAACATCCGATTCAAGAAATTTGCTTCAAAATTTTTTGGATTTTAAAAAACTCTTGATTCTCAAATTTTTCTATGCTCTAAATCACTTGAATGCCCCCACGTTTCACATTAGATGGCTAATTTCATCTAAAATCTCATTATCACCTTTTGGTCCCTTTTGTTGTCAATAATGGCCTCTTTTTCGTGATTCTTCCAATATTCTCGGTTGAAATTTGCTTGCTGCCTTTTACCAAAATTTCAATTTTCATTTCCCTCGGCATAATTTATTTCCCAAACCGCGCCGCACATATTTTATCTCGACCAAGATTCAAGTGTTATGTTTTCACCCTGTCCTCGGCACTTGATTGGCCATCTGTGCGCGAGGATGAGCGACATTTCGAGGAGAGATTTTCTTGCTCAATGTCAATTTGACGGCCGATTTTTCCGCTAATTAGGTAAGGTCAGAGAGAGACCCGAGATCAGTTTTGCTGATTTTTTGATTTTTTATATGAGATTTTAGGAAATCTCGTTTTATCAAGACTAAAATTTTAGAGTTTTTTATTTTAAATTTGAGGGTTTCCGATTTTCTTGATAAAAATTTTTTTTTAAATTTTTTGTGCAGTTTGCGTATTTTACTCCCCGAGAAACCTTTTTCTCGCTAATGTGCCTTGCGGCCGACGCGTTTTCACACGCGCCTTGGGTTTCGGCTTATGAACAATATGGCCAAATAAGGCGAATAGAAAACCCACAAGCTGGCTCGGCGATAAAATCTTTTGGTCGAACATTTCAAGATTTCATCTGAAATATTGTTGCTTCAAGGTCATGCAGTTTTAATCTTGAAATTTTTAGCTTGCGGTTTCGTATGTCATATATAAGTTTTCTTATCCAGGAAAAATTGCAAAATTAATTCAGCATTTTGAAAAAAATATCTTTTCCTTCTATGATTTTTTTTATTAGTGGAGAAAGCGTTTTTAGCATTTCATAATGATTATTAATTTGTTAGAGAAAAGGGTTCCATTAGCGCTGAAAAAACATTATTTTTGTATAAACACCTTTTCTGGTTATTTAAAAAAGTTATTTGTAAAAAAATTTTATTTTACTTTCATTTTTGGTATAAACCTTGGTATAACCCAGATTTTTTGAAGAACCAAATTTTCTAAAAATTTATTTTTTCCTAAAATTTTCGACACGGCTTTTAAGACCACTCTACCTCTATTTGTCATTTCCAATTACCCCCAACGAACGGTTTCGCATCCAATTTGCGGCTAATAAATTCTCCCATCCCCTGAGGCGGCCGATGGACGTAAGAAGGCAGAGGTCATTTTAGTGGCCATAGAAATGACCGGAAGGACTTTGAGGCCGCGCGACCGAACAAGCTGGACATGGGGTTTGGCGCCTCTGGCATTATTAATGCGTTCCCCGCTTTCTCCAACTTGGCCCGTCCATTATGGCCCACTCACTGAATGGACTTTCCTCCTTCGGCCAAACTTTATGTGAAAAAAGGGGACTTGTTAATATTTTAGTTTATGTCCGTTTGGGAATGGCTTTGCATTCTTCGGCTAATTCGAGAATCAGCTGGAAAAGTTTTGAGGGAAGAATTTCGAGAACGGCGGGATTTTTGGGATGATGAATCTAAATAAT